GAAGCTAACGTTAGCCATCCTGCTGCTCCAGCGAGGGCTCTGGTGTGATTGTATTCCTTTCAGAAGCTTTATAATCCAGCCTTGAATGCAGTGTCTTTAGACTTAGTAAAATAAATCCATAGTGATAAAATCCAACTTTAAATGCCTTTGTAATTATTTATCCATTTTCTGATTAAAAATGGGAGTTGAAAAATGTTCAACTTCGGGTAAACGCTGCATTTCTTACTGTCACCCGCCATCCAATTAGAGTGGAGAAGTAGCAGGACACCACAAAGACCAGCCATCACATAGCCATAACAACAACAGTTAGCATTTTTAGCTGGGAAAAGAAACACTTTGTTAAAGTAACACCAGCGATTGTCCAACCAATGAGAATTGGGTCAGACAAGAGCATACCCAAGGCAGGGTAACCTGGCTAGCTGTTGTTTCCACTCTTTGCTAAGCTACGCTAACCGCTAACTCAGCAAGAAACTGAATAAGAAAGCAACACTTCCCACAATGTTTCACTATTCCTTAAAATGAAAACAATAAAAAAAAGTTTATTGCAGAAACAAATGTTTATAAAATCCATTTAATCTTTTGACCGACATAATGTTTTGGTATCAGCACTGAAATCCAGGTATATTAACGCCAGTATCAAAATTCTAGTAGTGCCCAGGACAAGTTTAATCGCACAAACTTTGGCACAATTCAAAACGTTTCCAGCATGACTGAGTTTCATAATTTTGTCAAGAAAATATCTTAGCTGGTGCGTTTCAGTTTCACGTGCCAGTTCAACTTGCAAAACACATCTGACACTTCATGCATTATCACCCAGCGTGCAGCATAACTCTGCATCCTTTTGTCAGTTATTAAAGATTTTTTTGTGGTAACGTAGTGACAGAACAATATTTCCTGCAGTTAACAGGAGCAACATGACTTCCCCTGTGGCAGGGGGATGCCCTGACTGCTTGTGACCTCACTTCCTCCTTTGGGCCACTTCCTTCTTATTTCTAAACAGCCATATGTTGACTCTTCCAATGCTCAGTGAATTGATAATAATGATAATTCTAAACAAAATATGTCAAATGAGAAAAATGAAGTAATATAGGACATGTGGAGGGCATGTTCTAAGTTGGACTTAATTTCAGTGTTTCTCTGTCTATATTCAGCAGGTGTATGAGGTCTAAAGGTAAGAAGACGAGTATCTTTTTGTAGAATAAGCACTGAGGGTTTGAAGAAACATTTGCCCTTTAGTTGACGCAGGACTAGAGTAAACACTGAATGTGATTCACATGTGCTAACCCTGAGCTGGGTCGTGACCTTATCCATGTAAAATGTGCCACTGGTGTGTGAGGCAATCATTTAGCTGCAGTCATTTCTAAATCAAAGGTCCCAGATTGCAGAGGATTCAGAGTGGTGCAACTCACAATGCGCTCTGTCTTTCTGTGTCTCTGCCCTCCTCTTGTTAATCTGTGTTTCCGTTCACTCACTGTAGTCATTCACAGACATTTACAATCTGGTTTTACCCTCCACCCTGCCGGCTCAGTGTAAATAAACTAACTAACTCACTTAGAGGCTTACAGGTGAGTAGACGTGGGATAATGGTAATTTGTAGACATAAATAGTTTCTTGTCGCGGGACTTGACGGCACCTGTCAAGAATATTAAACTTATGATAAGCACACAAAACGATGTAAAAACTGTCATCTCTGACCATATATTAGCATGTAAAGTAAATTACAGTCCAATGAACAGACGGAAAAGCAGAGTAATGTTCTCTAACTGGCTTGGTGAGATCTGACTGTACCATGAGACCAAACAATGCCCTGGGTTGGATGTGAAAGTAGCTGCAGTACCTCTGACCTGGTGTCAGTTGGGTGGAGGCTCTGTGTTCTTTATTCACGCCACCTGAAAGAATTGGGCTGGGCTCTGCAGCATACTTGGCTCCACCTGGAGACCGGCGCAGGCCTCCAAAATACTGCATGCACAGCTGCCTTCAAAAAGGAGTTTACTGAGTACACTCTGTGAGTACGTCATTAAAACTAAAAATACAATTCCCTCAGTTACTCTTTGGAGCAGAGGACACTTGAGTAGGATGTGTGGGATTGAAGTCGTCCTTTTTTGCCACTGCTTGACAAATATTGTTTTATTCAGTTTGCAAAAGTGCATGTCTTTATCATCATATCATTATCATCAAAAGAGGACAAGTGGAACTATCCTTGTTACCACGATAAAGCTTTAAACCAATAACACCCATCAGATGTGTTCTCACTGATTTGCTGACAGAATATCTACAGGATAGTGCAATGATGCTTAATTCAGCACTTTCCAGTAGTGGTAAGTGTCTACATTTACTCAGGTCCTGTAGTACATGTATTAGTTTTACCAGTACAGGCCTTCATTGTTGTATTTCTATTTTTACTTAAATGTAAGATCTGAGTACTTCTACCACCTCTGGTTGTTGCTGTTGATTAATACTGCAAGTATTTCCTCCAGCAGTGGCTCCATATCATAATGGCAGCTTGTTTTTTGACTTCCCCCCGTTTTGTGTCTTGTAAATCCCCCTAATTCCAGTTAAAAAATCCTATTTGAGCAGTTTCCTGGTTCTGCGCCAAACTCTGACAGTGACGGTCCAGCTTTGAATTTTCAGCACTTGCAGACCAGTCCACACTGTTTGCTCGCCCCTGCAGTCCTAAGATGATGTGTGTGATAGAGCCTGATCAATATATTGGCAAATTTGCCAACGTTAGCTTTTATATCAGGTTTTGGTGCAAATGCGGGATGAAAAGTAGCAAGAAATTGCTACGCAGAAATGTCAAAGATACATTTTACTTAGTTTGTCCCAGTGTCATGATACTGGAATTATTAACTTCAATACAATAACCAAAAAAAAAATAAAAACTGATAGGTGATACCACGTGGAAATGTAAAAAACATTAAGGTAATAACACATAACATTTTATGAAAAGCCTAATATTACATGGCTATGACATGATAGCGACTTTTCTTTTCTTGGTTAGCAGCAGAGGACAGTAGAATTACTGAAGTCAACAAGAATAAATAAAACTCTTACATTAATGAAAGTAATATTCTTCTTGTAGTGCACATGTTCAAACACCTCTGAGATTGTCAAAGTGCAAGTAGAAAACAAAACTGTGCTGCTAAAGCCTGTATGCAACCAAAGTGAGTGAGAAGAGTGAAGAGAAGACAGCGCTGTGAGTGAGAGAATGCAGGGCTATGGGGACACTGCAGAGGGGCACTGCCAGTTGCCATTTAATGATAAATCAGTATTTTTCTAACAACTCCAGTTTGTCCTCAGGACAGCGCTGACACCTTTTCCTATGAAATGTCCTGCTCAGTAGGCCCGTATACCTTGGCCACAATACTGACAGTAATTTAAAGAATTCTTATCAAAAATGTTTGTGTAAATTGTGTACATGTAAAGAAATGTATATACTATATATATATTGTGTAATGTTGTTAGCTTTTTTAAAACACAAATATTTATTTAGCATTAAAAATCCAGTGTTAGGCCAGCTCTACTACATAATATGTACGATGGATGCAAGGATAAACAGATTTAAATGTACTTTCAGTTCACTCTGAAGTGTTGAATGTGTTGCTGTTACCTGATAACAGATGAGCACACATATGGACACACAGTGACTGCATTTTTCATTTTAATTTATTCTCTGATTGGGTTGTTCTGGAGTAAAAATTCTGTTTGTGGCAGCAGATTGATGTACAGGCCACTTAGCAAAAGATGAACTTGATCTGTAGTTTAGCCTGTGTATCTCAACTTAGTCCAAAGGTACAAAAATGAAGCCAAAATATAAAAAATATGGCCGCTGCCATCTTATGCTGGTGATGTCATTTGGAGCTAGAGTCTGCGTAGTCACAATCTCTGCAGTATTGAGTTCTCACTCATACACCCATCCAACCAATGGTGAGCACACTGGTTGGCACACGCAGCTGTCAATCATGACGTCAACCCCGTCTTTATAGCATCCAATAACTAATTAAAACCAAACTTATCAGAAAAACTAACTCTTGAACATTTATCTGCATGATAAAAACTGCTTCTTTGAAAAACCATCTTTAGGAAAATTTATTTGACATGTACTTTGATCTTTTAGTTTGGCCCATGACCCATCCGCTACCATGTAAGTGGTGGAGTTTATGACCTATACTGCTGCCAGCCACCAGGGGACAATCGAGATGTTTTGGCTTCACTTTTGGGGGAGCTTTCATGTTGCATGATAACTTTTGCAACTAAACGGAAAAGAGCATCAACCACAAAAACTCAAATCTTATCAGGAGGAAATGTAAGACACAGATCACTGCACCGCTGCCACTGTTTGATAGATGCCATGTGAGGAAGTACAGTGCAGCACAGACATCACTGCTGTATTTGTGCAAGTGTGAGAGAAGTAGTTGCGTTTGATGAACCAGTCAAAGGGCAACCTCGTTGGGTCTCTTTGCGGACCAATGTGAATGATCTCAGAGTTAATTTAAGGCTGTCTGACGTCAGTAAAAAAGAGTAGCTTGTGAATCCTACATTTCTTGTCACTGTTGTCAGTTGCTGAAGCGTCCACAGACAATAATACTCAGCGTCTTTGCTGTCTGCTGTCAAACAACAGTCACACCCTTCAGTCTGGAATGTGATGCTTGAATCAACCAACTCTGACTGCAGCGTGATGGACGTGTTTGTGGAGGCTGTTGTAGATCTTTACCTCTCTGTCTCTCAGTCCTTTCCCATCTCTATCTCTGTCTTCAAAAATACAGTTTGTAGTTGTGTTGACAGGCGTCATTTTCCTTGCCCTCCAGAATGAGCTGCATGGAATGTTTGGTTTCTCCATAAATGTTGGCTGTTGTGAAACCGAGACGCTGCTCTGTGTGAATCTTGAAATGATTATGATGGTTTCTTGTTTGATTTTTCACTGCACATGCGTAACTTTTCTCTCTCTCTCTCTCTCTCTCTCTCTCTCTCTCTGTCTGTTTGTCTCTCTCTGTCTCTAGTCGCAGGCTAGCCAGGCCACACCCAAACCGGCAGCTCAGGTCTCCACTGTGAAGCCTGCACAGTACGAGGTATCAAACATTCCTCTTTAACGCCCTTTAACCTCTTCTTGCCCTGTCTCTCTCTCTCTCTCTCTCTCTCTCTCTCTCTCTCTCTCAGAAGAACCCTATTTTGTCCACTTCCTTCGTTCAATCAACAGCTGACTGACCTCTGACCTGCTCATTATCTGGACTATGTGTAGTATTGTTACTTCCTTTCCTGTTTCAGCTTCATGTTTTTTAACAGTTTGAGGCAGAGTGAGGGAATGGACATAACACAATAAAGAAAACTTTCCTTTTCCTTCCATTCAAGCACAAAAGAGGTAACACCCAGTTTCTCAGTGGGAAGCAGTTTAACCCTTTAATGCTGCTCTCAAACAATGGATCAAAGTAATTGTCATGTTTTGGTCATTGGAGCAATTTCCATGTTACGATAGTTCTTGAATGTTTATTTGAATAGAACTTGAGCAAGTATGTCAGTCAGGACTGAGGGATAAATAAAGGAGTTACTCTGTTTATGACTACATGTCAGTTTTGCATGTTTATTTTTAGGATCTTTCCTCTTGTTAACATACCAGCATGATGTCTGTGGCTATAAAACAGTGTTAGCTATATAAGGTGTTTTATCAAATGACGTCCAGTTCAGTTTATAGGAAACAACAACCGGACAATGTTGTCCTCTTGGCCATCCTGAAAGTCTTTAAGTCTTCATTGAAAGTACTGAAAGTCTCCTAATGACTAGCTTTTGTCATGAAACACCCTCATTTGGCTCCGAAAACAAAGAGCTTTCACCAAGTCCGCTGCCTAACTGCCTTTCAGTATTCTCTGTGACTTCTTCAAGGCCAGACAGTTCTGACAGGACACATCAACAGGGACAGCCTGAAGTGTTTTCACTTGGCCTTCAACAACTAGGCTGTGACATTGTCTATTTTGGTGCCCGGCCTGTAGAGAAAGGCTTTGGTGGGATATTTGAACTCTGAAAGTTTCCCTCTGCAGAAAATAGTATATAAACATCATAATATGAGACAATGAGATGTTTTAAATTTACCAAGTTATTTACAGATGAAGCTTGTATTACTCAGTCATTAACCTTTAGCTGTAAGTGACTCTTGTTAGCAGCTGACCTCGGTGCCTCTTTCATGGCCTCTTGGTGGACTTCCTACAGCTGCTCATGTATCAGTGGCAGTGTATATGAGCAGTGCTGTGGTAGGTGGTATATCATATTAAGCCACAGAAACAGCCACTATGTATGGTGCATCAGTACAAGGCCATCTAAGGGACCATCTTTACCTCTTTTTTTCAACTTAAAGGGGCACTCCAGTGATTTAATATTGCTCTTCCATAAAGTTGGAGGACTCATTAGAGACAGTTTAAAAAAAACAAATGCTCAGAATCTAAAAATATATCCTGAATTTTGTCTCTAATATTTTTATGTGGCCTTGTCCATTTCCAGTCTTGTCTCTTAGCTTCTGGATGGTAACACTAGCCACAGTAAATACACGTAAAAAGTCTTTGTTCTGATCATTTCAAACAGCCTAGTATCCATGTCTCAAAGTTCACAGTTTGGCCTGACACCACCACGTACACCACAGATGTTGGATTAAACAAACAATGCGCAAAGGTATATTTGGTATCAACTAGCTAAGAACTAGCTCAACTAGCAGCAGATTCATGTTTCTGTGGTCAAAAGTATCAAGAGCTTTTATGCTTCATAGTAAAATGGCCAGTGAAAGTGAAGCCAGTGTGTCCACAATATTCATAGCTTCCCTTTTTGTTGCGTGCTGCTTAAAGTCCCTACCTCATGTGCACGCTGCGTCCAGGAACGTCCTGGATACAGACAATAAGAAGAAAATAAGACAATACAGGCAAAGGGCAGAGTCTCTGCAGAAAGATACACTGACACACACTTCTAGTGGATCATGAGTGATGATTGAGAGGGATTACTTCTGTATGAGTCTATTTTTAGGAAAATCCTACATAGTATATCTTGAACTTATTAGTACAATGATGCAGAAAATTAAGTTAATAATGTTTATATTCCAGACAACCAGCCACTGAACCAAATGAATCTTACCATGTATAAAATGTATATTATCGTGAATAATCATCTTGTTACACAATAATAAGCCCCTGTCACAGAAACTGACCAAATGAAAACTGCTTTAGAAGAATCACCAGATACTACATTTCCCATAATGCAACCAATAGCACAATTTCAGTTGATGCTCTCTGGCAAATGTCTGCCTTTTTCAAATGTATTAGCTCCCAGTTTGTAACAGAGGCTTTCAGTTATATATCTGTAGTGTAAAAACGCAAGCAGACATAATCTGACCTTGATTACATCACCATGACATATTCAGGGTCATTTTTTCAGCTATCTTTGAAGCCACAAAAAAACCTTATACAGCTGTATTTACTGCTGAGTAAGCTGAGTAATACTGCTTGTGACAAGTAAACTGATATTTGTGTGTAAAATCAGTGGATTGCCCCTTTAACAATTCATTTAATTTAGTCATGAGACAGTAAATACATTTGCTACTGCCACAAATGTATACAGTCAATGTAATCATTCGGTGGGCTGTGATAAAGGTAGATGATCGACTTTTCCACACCTGGTACGTTGCAGAAGGAATCATCAGGATCCGCCATGGCTACAAGGTCTGGGGGGGTTACCTCAGCAACAGGTGGAGCTACCAAAAGTAGCGTCACAGCAGGAGGAGGCACCTCAGTTGGGACAGCAGCAAAAGCCAAACCGGAGGTAGACGGACTCTGGATACCTACATAAAAGGGGCGGGGGCTTTTGGCTGTTTGGTCTAATGTAACATGAGTCACTGCTTCCTTCTACACTCTGAGCATGTGCTCACAGTGAGGCAGCTCACGTCTCTTCCTCACTGGCTTCATCTTCTTTTCATCTTTGCAAAACAGTGTGTACTTCTTCTCTGTATGCGGTGTCTCTCTCTGGCTCAGCCACCCAAACATCTTGACCTTTTCAGAGGCTGAACACTTGCTGTATCATGTTAATGAGCTCTGACATCATCACGCTTGGATGAACGCTCATCACCGACTGTGGAGCTGAATAACTTTCACATGACTTTATTTAAACACATGCTCCTTGGTTTGTAGACTAACGCTACACTGGCAGGTGCTACTGTTATTGACATGTCGTCCGCTGGGGCTACACTTGTTGACATGACATCAGCTGGGGCGAGGGGCAGTCCTAAAGAGATGCCTAAGGTAATGGTGTCAGAATGACGAAAGAGCTGCTCGGTGCTTTTCTTTTTGTTTACATTACTGCTGATCATTTTACTGAAGTTTTGATTGATTTTCTACCAGCTGGGCAGCTTGCAGGTACAAGGAAATTTTATCAACCTTATTTTAAATCAAGGTTGGGTCGATATGCTTATCTCCAGATTCATTACAATACTGGGGTGCCAATTCGATATGTATTGCGATTATATACTTAAGTATTGTGATTCAATATTAAGATTTATTGCATTTTTTTTTTTAAATTAAACATGGGGAAAAATAAATCATACACTTCTAGAAAGTGTCTGTCATAAGACATATTTCCAAAAACAGTGCACATAACATGTCAGGCAGTCTTTCTAGTTAGTTACCCAGCAGTCTCTCCACCTCTCCCCACAGCTAGGAGACTATTCAACTGGGGCACTGGGCGGAAGCTCTGGAGACGGAGCTCATGTTAGCAGCTGTAGTACCTCGAAATCAGGTGCCGCAAACCCCAGCACCAGGGGTCACAGTGGGCTGGGTCTAATCTGTGTAACTGCAGCAAAAGAAGGTTTGCTGATCTGACGGAGAGTTCGTCCTGGGTAGACTGAATTTGAGTTGCTATTCTAATTGATATGACGATCTAGATGATCAGATATGACGTCACGTTACTGGTAGATCACCACAAGAAGAGTCGCAACATATTTCCACCTCTACATTTGAATTATATCCATTCAGGCGTAAAACAACTGATTAAAAAATCGTAAAAAGAAAAATCATCGTGCTTGATTGAATCAATTTTATCATTGAGGTTGTGTTGCTGTCAGGTTGTAATGTCTTGTGAGTCCTGGTTGGTTGGTTAAAGCCATGTGCTTGAGGGAAACTCCAACATACACAGTTTGTGTGTCAGCAGCTTTAGAACAGCCTTTCTAATTTCACATGATCTTTCTCACAGCACTCATGATTGCTTATCATATTGTGTATTGTTTCAGTAAATCTCTTTTGGTTTATTTTAGGTTTTTAGATTTAATTTTCTGATCGCATATCTGGTGAATACAATGCTAAGCAGCTGACTCACATTTCAGATACAAAGGCTTCCTGAATGCACCAAACATCCTGTCTGCTACTGTTATGTATCTCAATAAGTGTTAGAGCCCTTGCGAGCTACCTGACAGAAAATCAATTCAGAGAGTTTAGAACAAGGTCAGCAGTACTGTAAAGCATACAAAGTTTGTTTTAAATGGACTAACCTTGAAATAGCACCGTAATTTCACCATGCACACTGATCAATGGTCAGATTAGTCTCAGTAGGACTGAGTGGTTAATAACTCAGCACTTTTGACATGTGTATTCTTGCTACAGTGGCAGATCTGACCAGAGATCACTGTACATTTTCTCCTGCTCTGTTTTCACTAACACTGTTTAAATGTTGTCCACATCTCTTGTCAATATGTTTGCTGGATTTAGAATTGCTGCGAATCCTAAATCCTTGTGTTTGTGAGTAATCATTTGGCTACATGTTTGTAGACTGCTCCTGTTTCCCAAGTCACAGCCACAGCTACAATTCCTTTTCTTGCTGCTGGAATGTCTGCAAAACCTTACAGCCCAACGACCGCTGCTGTGACCAAACCTAAAGAGTCACCTAAAGACACAGCCAAGGTAGACTCAACTGCTGCAGGCTTCTCAGACGCCTTTCTTGTGACTCCTGTGAGGCTTTCTTTCTGCAACATCTTCTTCGTGTCGCAGAGTCTTATCAGGTGTTTGCTACTTTCTGAGAACACTCAGATCCTTGCTTCGGACATTGCTTGCTTTGGGAGTTTCTTTCTTCTCTACTTTGGAGTTGATGTGTTGGGAAGTATAAAGGACTTTTTCTTCTTGACTTTACAGTCCTTTGCTGCTCATGCCTACGCTTGTTATTGTATTTGCAAATGGTGCACACCTGTCCACTTGCAACACCACACATACATCAGAAATCTGAGTGGAAAACAAACGAGAGGAAATAAATGGAGAGGACACGCCTACAGTTTGTTGGTTTGTCTTAGTTTTATTGCACAACACCTTTTTGACAAATGACAGTCATCTAATTGGTGGAGGATTTCTTCTGCTGGACTCACTGTCCTGTGTTTTATTCGTTTTTTCGGGTGCATAATTGACCTCAATCATGAACTGCAGATCTGTAATTTTACTGGACATGTACTTGGCCTATAATATATTCAATTCATTGTATTTTAGAGTGTCACTGCCACCACAACAGTCAAAGCTGAAGTGCCTAAAGCTGATCCAGCTAAAGCACTACAGCCAGCTGCAGGAACTACAGCTGCAGCTGGAAATGTGTCTGTGCAGGGGAAGAAAGGAGCCGAAACAACACAAGCGAAGGTAGATGATCCTGAAACCAACAGGGGTGGAGGCTCTCTGATACTTTCATCCTGTGTATTTCCTGTCTGTGGGATATTAAAGGATATGTTGCGTTGGATATTTTCACAGTGCTCTGCCTGAATAGACCAGTTCTGTGCTGTCAGGGCCCTGTGAGAGTTTTCGTTGGTGTCCGACTTCGGGGAAATGTCTCTTTCTGGATTGATTTATCATGACTAAAGTCCACACATACTATAAATCCTACCACACTAACAATGTCAATGTGGTGCGTGTTTTATGTCGTTGAGTACTCTTTACTGATCCTGGATCTGTGTTGCAGGTGCAGGTGGAGGTTCCTCCCGCAGCAGCTAAAGGAACCAAGGAGGTAAATATATACTGAAGCCATATGAGTTTGCTTTGAAACGCATGTTGCTCGCTCCAGCGTGCTGAGTTGTGTTGCATGCGCAGGAGGATCCATTTGATGCCCTGGCTAGCATACTGCCATCGTCTGACACTATTGCACGCCCACAGCCTGAATACACCGGGCCAGAGGTCAAAGAGGTACAACACAGTGTGCACGCATGTGTGTATGTATATAAACACAGCTGTAGCATGGATCTGCCGTGAGTAACCATGTGTGCTGCATGTGCCACAGCATGACATCATTGCTGAGGTGGGTGAGAAGTGTGGAGAAAGAGAGAGCACGCTGCCTCCAGGCTACAGGCTCGAAGATATGGTCAGTCCTCATCTTGTGTTCATCACCTTTTCATATTCAGCAGTTAGCTCTGTCACATCGCCAACAGAGTGTGTTTTCTGTCCCATCTATTCTATTATCCACCAAGGTTTTATATTTGTAAAACTTTCCTCGAGCTGAAAAAAGCAATTTAGAAATCCCTAATGTCATCACAATGTAAAGTCTACGAGCCGAGCAGGAACTCACGAGCGGGGCCAGCGGGAGAAACACTATTGCATATATTCATTAGACTGCATACCATGGAAGTAAACCCAAAAGCCAGAAACTTTTATTGGAGTGTGCGCCAGGCAAGCAACTCCATTGGAATGGGCGCCATCTTGGCATCCAGTATCGAGGTATTATTATGAATCCATGGGCCACCCCTATGACAAATATGTGGGTGCATCACTGTCCTTCTGTAGGAAGTAGTTGGGAAGTCACTGTAGATGTAGAGTAATTGGGAAGTTTTGAAATGCTTCCATTAGGACACATTTATCATTTTTTGCAGCTAAACTCAGACAAGACAGTAGTAATAATCTTTGGCCCTGATCACCTAGCAAGGAAATTACAACTGTTTATTGGTCCTCTGGCAATTAATATAAAATCTACAGCGAGAAACTTAGGCATGGCTTTTGATTCTCACCTGAACTTTAAACCACATTATTATCAAAATTAAATAAGCTGTCTTTTCCTGACCAAGAAAAGCTTATTCATGCTTTTGTATTCTCACGCCCTTGATATCTGTAATGCACTGTTTACATGCCTCAGTAAATCTTCAGTAAACTAGTTCAGAGTGCTATGGTTCGCATTTTAACAGGGACAAATCGTAGGTCACATTTCAGCCCAAATCTTGGCTCCCTTCATTGGTTGCCAGTTAACTTCAGAATTGATTTTAAGATTTTTTTTATAACTTTTAAAGCTCAACATTGTTTAGCCCCCAGTTATATAGCTGAGCTTCTGACTACCTATGCTCCAAGTCCAAGGATTCTCTGCCTGAGGAGATTAGGCTGGCTAGCACATTATCCATTTTTAAATCATTGCTTAAGATATTTTTATAGTAAAACTTTCTCTTGTAATGCCTGATTTGTACTTTTGTGATTTGTAACTTTTGTGTGTCATTTCTTTTTGTTCTATTTTTGCCTCCATACACACAGTTTTTCTTTGCTCTTACATAAATATTGTTTTGTTGTCTTATTTTTATGCACTTTGTGAAACACTTTGGAACCTTGTTAAGATAATTGCTCTACAAATAAATATTGTTATCATTACTGTATTATTATTAAATGCTTTTCAACGCCGGTAGCCCCACAATCAAAACTCCATTCACCTCCATTTAATCGGGGCAGTAATGAGAAGGGCTTAGTGTCAAACCTCATGCTTTTTCCAAGCTTCTAAGTTTGCTGCTGTTATTGTTCTTTGCATGTTTTATTGCTTTGTTTTAATACCCTGTTTTTATGTATTGCATTATGGCCCCAGGGGCATTATATTGTGTTCCTGGTTTTTGTGTAACATGTAAGGAAAGGAATGACAATAAACCTGAACTTCAGCTTGTTTTTGGTACCAGCTGTAATATGTCTTTTGCACTGAATCCCAAAAAACTGTAAAGTACCAAGAGCTGGCATCAAAAGCCTGTTCCACATTCTAGAGTTTTAATTCTTCTTTTTCTCCAATTGTCGGCTATTTTATGTAAGCAGAATTGCTCACAGGAACTCATATATTGGCATAAATATTGTTTATACAATTAAAATGATACTCAGCCCTAGAGACAAATATCTCAAAAATAAAAAACAAAATTGAATGCATGTCCAGATACCACGAGAAGAGAATATGTAGGGGATTTTTTTGTAATTTGGGTCAACTGAGCCTTCAAGGCAGCATTTGTTGACACCCTGAATTATTTCAGCATTTCTTCCGGTCTAAACTTAATCTCTTTTTTTCTAGCCTCCAGCTCCTGCAGATTGGAAACCCAAGGACGTTCCTGTAAGTCAACCTTTCACAGCCCACATCTAGTGAAGTCACAGCCTCCTATGTTCTGCTAATTTTCTCTTTTACTTACTCACTTAACTTCTTCAAACATGTGTAAGGAAATGAGCGTGCACTCATATTACACACGCATATTTGGGAAACACTGTTTCCACTGTCGATCTGGTTCCTCTAGAGTGGGGAATGTATCATTGCACTGCTGGGTGTTGTCTCAGCAAACAGCACAAAACCTACCTTCTCTATCCAAGCTCGCTGGCTCTTGTCCGACCAAATCCACGCACCACCATGTAGACACACACCCACAAGCGCACACACTGATACATCTGTTACACACTTTGAAATCCACCCATATGTAGATTACTATTTACTCATCCTCAACACACCCACATTTACATCATAGCCTACTCCCACTCTGTCATCTTGTCTTGCGAGAGGCTTCTCTAGCTCGGTGTCTCATGATCTGCTGCCACCCAGACACTTTCCTCCAGTGTGAGTTTCGTGTTTTTAGTTTTGTTGCTTATCATGCTTTGCTAAATCGAAGCGGCTTTACGTGTCAAATGTGTGTTTTATGTGTTTATTTGTGATTTTTTTGGTCTTCATGGAATGTGAAGGGTGTGTCTGTTTTTTCCCTGCACTGTTGGTGAATACAGTCTGGTTCCCATTATTTTGCCCTTTTGTTTGCCTTTGACTTGGACAGGCTTGCCCTCTAGTGGAGAATCATGTGGCTGTTCTGGAGCATAATTTGGATTAATGCTTCCTAAATGAATAAGATTAGTAGTTTAATAAAACGAGATCATGTGAAAGTATTGTGTTGTTATCTTGTGGTGATGCACTCTGTCTTTCAACCCAGAAACCACTGAGCACAGACCAGGCCCTGGATTCTCTTTCAGCTGGATTCATGAGTTCAACTGGTCCAGCTGCAGCCAAACAACAAGAGGTCAGAGTCTGCAAGCATGTAGCACTCTGCTGCTAGTCCATCCTCCACCTTTACATGTGCCCTCTTAAAATTCTCTTGTAGACACTATCAGCACTGAATATACACATGCAGTTAGGCATAGCTTTGTGGTTTTTTTATTAGTCTCACAAATTCCTGTCCTGTATTTTTCTTTATGAAATATGTAGAAAAAGGATAATGCTGTCAGTGCCTCATCTGCTGGCCCTACTAACTTTGCACCTCCTCCTGTAAAGGTAAAGTAAAGCTTGCTTTCAGGTCTCCGTGGTTACAGTGTCATCTGACTGAACGAGCTAAACATTTTAATATCTAATGGTGTGTTTTTGTCACAGAAATCTCAATCTCCTGCAGCAGCCAAGATGGAGAAAGAGTCGGGAGATTTCTCTCTGGAGGCTGGACTTACGTCTGCTACTGCTACTGCCACGGTACATCAAGCTCACATCTCCTTTTCTTTCACCTGTGCTGTTCAGAAAAGTTGTTTATCTTGAACGTTGTCTCTTTTGGCTGTTGTAGAAAGCAGCTGCTCCTGTGGCTGTGAGTCCTCCTGTTGATAAAAAACCCAAGATGGAAAAAACCACCACAGTGGACACCAAGCCCAAGACTGATGGGGTGAGAGATACAGGAGTTGACGTGGACAAGGCACTTTGTCCCCATGTCCCTGCTGTTCTCTTTTCATACCTGAATTGAGATGAGTAGTTTATTAATTTCCTCTCCTGATCTCTCCCCAGGGTGACTCTATGTCTCTGGATGCTCTCAGCGCTCTTGTTGACACGCTGCCAGAAGACAAACCAAAACCCAAAGTCCCTGAACTCAGACCTGAGGACATTGTCTCGGTAGGAGCACAAGCAGCCACACTGTCTCATCCTCATACGTTCTCACAGCCATTGATTGCCTCTCTAATGGACAGTGCAGTCAAGGCACAATTTCATCTCCACCCAGAAACAGTTAGTGACAGATTTACCACCAGACAGTGTCTTATTTCCTATTCTATCCCTTTTAACAGGAGGACAAACACAAGAAGGAGAAGGGTGTGCTTGTAGGAGAGAGGGAGGACACAATTCCCCCAGAGTACAGGTTTGATAAGGAAGAACTAGAAAAACTGCCTGCTCCAAAACCCGAGGTGAGACTGAGACAAATTCTGTTCAAGCTCTTGAAATATCACTGTGATATGAATACAATAATAATTTCACTCTCTTTTCTCTCTCCCCTCCTCCTGCAGCCCACCATTGGTACTGGTGAGGCTCTGGACATCTTGTCTGGAGACTTCTTGACCTCTTCATCAGCTCCTGCTGTCCAGGCTTCTGTTGCGCAGGTACAATGCAGATCTGTTAACTGAACAGCTAACTAAAGTGTATGAAAATGGCACAAATACAATATCTATTATCCGCTTAAATTATGTCTCTGTTGGTTGTTTTCGAAATCCCCTGACATCCCTCCTGTGGCTGTGTGTCCTGCTGACAAAAAAAAAAACAAAAAGAAAAAGGTCCCGGGTGATTTCTCTCTGGAGGCTGGAGTTACTTCTTCTACTGCCAAGGTACAACTAGCTCACACTGTCTTTTCTGCGAGCATCGCTTGGCTGGTACAAATGACTACACAGAAAGGCCAAAAACTGCAGTTCAGTCAGGAACACTTTAGTCAAAGAAAACTTTATTTCCATTGCAGTATTATATTTGGCGGTATGGCTCTGTCCTGGGGCCCCTCTGCCTTTCCTCGGGCCTACGCAGAAAGCCTCCTCCAAGTTCTTACGTGAAAAGCACGAGGTAGCAGCTAGTGTTAGGGAGCGATCACACCAAGATGAAACGCTAGAAACGCGACGCCAGTAAAACCATTGTTTTCCTATGATATGGTGCGTCCGACCGGCATTCAAGCGTCTTTTTAGACAGCCGTTTTTCTGGCGTCTTTTTAGAAGTGCGTTTTTGTAGACCCTTCTTTTTAGATGCGTGTTTTTAGACGCGCATAGACGCTGAAAAGTTAAAATATTTTCAACTTTTTGAGCGTCAGGCGCCAGTAGCTAGCACGCATTGAATAAGCGCTTCCAGTGTTTCAAGCGTCTTTGAAGCGTCCGCGTCTTTAGCATCTCATTTCTGTGTGATCACCCCCCTCATCCAAACGTGGTCACTCCTGGCTCCATAAATCCAAGATGACAAAGGCCAAAATGCTGAACATGAGGCTTCAGAAGAGAAGTCCACAAACCAATGGGTGACATCACAATGGCAACATCTATTACGTAATGCAGTCTATAGGCTAGTCAGACTCGACTTATATTAATGAGCTCTGTCAATTGAGGATAAAAGTCCATGTCATGACCTGGACGTCCATTCATTTGGAAAACACAGAAAAAAAGACACTTCTTATGACTTCATGTCTTGGCTCATTCGAACAATTTGGAAAGCAACAAAATAATCCAGGTGTGAACAGGAAGTGTGAGCCATAAAGCAGCATGCAGATTTGCCAAAAATAAATAGGTATACAGTGGTCCAGGAAGAGTCCTAAAACCAGGAAATGAGTTAGCATTTTAGCACTCCTCATTCTTTATCTCATAGTAAATGGGTTTTTGGTTAGATGCCTGAAATAAGGTTTCGTTCTATGTCAGTGAATACCCCAGCCATGAATTTTGAAGCTTTCATGTGTCTTAAAAAAAGGTGGTGGCTAAATATGGCTTGTGGACCAATTTTTAATGGCCCGCACCTTGTTCACAGTATACTATATGTGGCCCACCACACAATATATAATGGATAATCAAGCAAGATCACTTAGCATTTTTTACAATTACTTCAGGCTGGCAGCACTATATAATTTGACATGCACCATGTAGGAACCATGCAGGCAGGGCTGTCTTTTCACAGACAGTAAACGAGCAAACGAATGCTTTCCTAACAGCAGACATTTTACGCTAGGTAGCAAATATGGCCACAGCAAAGAAGCATAACTTCACCAGCGAGGGCTGCTACTTTCAGAAGTGGTGGAAAGTACACAAAACAATTGCATTTGTCTCGTTTGTATGGTTTTTTTTGTTTTTGTTTTTTTTTTCATAACCTGTATTAAGCCATAGGAAGCAGCTCCCCCCTGTATATTGTCATATTATGTAATCTGGCCACCATTCAAAAAAGCCTAGACACCCCTGGCATAGAGGGAAAGTCAAGGGATCACTAAAGTTATTACAGTTTATCCTGAGGGAAGCATATAATGTCTGCACCACACGCCAGTCCATCCAACGATTGCCAACGTTACATTCATAACCATAACTAGCCACCTCATGATGGTGCTAGAGGAAAAGCCCAGAGATTGTCTGGGAACGATGAATGTTTGTTACCACCATGTTGTGTGTATCTATCCAGGAGATATTGAGAGATTTCTCAGTATTAAAATGTCAGACATCCATAGAGTCATCTTGCAAGCATTGCTAAAATGCCCAGAGGTTTAGTAAGTTACATGATCCATAGAAGTGAACTAACTTCTGATGCAGGCCCCACCAGCTCCCAGTATAAATCTGACTACAGATATTGATGTGGATTAAACAGATACAGCTACAGAAAGCCACTGATGTAATGTTTGATGTCATTTCTGTTGTTGTCTAGAAAGTTGAGTCCTCTGCGGTTCCCCCTGTGGCTGTGTGTCAAGCTCCTCCTCCTGTCAAAAAGGAGACAACTGCTGCTGGAAAGGACGCCACTGATGGCAAGCTCACTGCTGGTCAGGTGAGATACAGGACGTTTACAGTTTTTTAAATTATTTCCCTCATGTTTCTCCATGTTGCCTTGTTGCTCTTTAGTTGAACTATAATTGTATGACGGATCAATAGAGCACAATCTCCCTGATCTCTCCCCAGGGTGACTCTATGTCTCTGGATGCTCTCAGCGCTCTTGTTGACACGCTGCCAGAAGACAAACCAAAACCCAAAGTCCCTGAACTCATACCTGAGGACATTGTCTCGGTAGGAGCACAAGCAGCCACACTGTCTCATCCTCATACGTTCTCACAGCCATTGATTGCCTCTCTAATGGACAGTGCAGTCAAGGCACAATTTCATCTCCACCCAGAAACAGTTAGTGACAAATTTACCACCAGACAATGTCTTATTTCCTCCTCTTTCCTTTTAACAGGAGGACAAACACAAGAAGGAGAAGGGTGTGCTTGTGGGAGAGAGGGAGGACTCAATTCCCCCAGAGTACAGGTTTAACAAGGAAGAACTAGAAAAACTGCCTGCTCCAAAACCTGAGGTGAGACTGAGACAAATTCAGGGGGTGTTTAACTCTTATAAATTATGAACAGATGTGAAATAAGCACTAACTGCATGATGTTGATTGATCCTTCACTCTCTCTCCCCTCCTCCTGCAGCCCACCATTGGTACTGGTGAGGCTCTGGACATTTTGTCTGGAGACTTCTTGACCTCTTCATCAGCTCCTGCTGTCCAGGCTCCTGTGGTCACCCCCTCAGCTCCCCCTGCACAGGTACACTGTGGGTCTGGTGCTGGTACCCGTGGTCAAACTGTGCTGCGTGATACAGGAGGTGTTTAGTTAGATGAGTAGATTTATACCACTCTCATGTCTGTACGCTAAATGAAGCTACTGCCAGCAGCCGGTTAGCTTAGCGTAGCATAGAGAAAGGAACTGGGAAAACAATTTTATTGGCTCTGTCCAAAAAATGTCAAAATACTATTTTAAGACTTTGTTTAAATCAGGATGTCATGATTTATTTATTCATATCCGCACTTTGTCATCTATGAAAGCTGTTGTCTCTGTTTTCCAGACCAAAGTAGAGGATTTGTCAGCTTTGGATCAACTTTCTTCAGATTTTGTGGCTCCAGCTAAAGCTTCTGGAGTTCAGGCATCTGCCCCTCCTCCTACCAAGAAGACACCACAGGTAAAGTTGTCAGTGTGTGTGTGTGTGTGTGTGTGTGTGTGTGTGTGAATGTTTGTGTGTGTTTGCATATCTGTACGTGTCTCCTTACTGAGTCCGGAGAATAAATGGATATTATGTGTATTCTCAGCTGTGCATGCCTGTTGTTGCAGTCTCTATGGTCCCATGTCTGTTTCCAGTCTTCATGTCCCACTGTACTGTCTGTCCCTGTGTTCCTGCAGAAAACAGTCTGTCCTCTGGAGCAGCCTAAATCAGTTGATGTCCTCCCTGGACAACCACAACAAGCAAAACCTAAGACTGATACGGTAACCCTGAAAATACAAAATTACTTTAAAAAAATAAAATAAAATTACTGAAATGCTTCATTGTTTACTACAGTTTTTTAATTCTTGTTTAAACTGCCTCACTTGAGTAAGTAAGTAAATTGGGCATTTTACTCATGCTGTGCTGATGGTTTGAGGTATCTTTTTTCAATTTAAATCACTTCCCTTTTTACCTTCAACACTATCTCAATTACATCATACACTTCCTCTCCTGATCTCTCCCCAGGGTGACTCTATGTCTCTGGATGCTCTCAGTGCTCTTGTTGATACACTGCCAGAAGACAAACCAAAACCCAAACTCCCTGAACTCAGACCTGAGGACATTGTCTCGGTAGGAGCACAAGCAGCCATTGATTGCCTCTCTAATGGACAGTGCAGTAAAGGCACAATTACATCTCCACCCAGAAACAGTTAGTGAGAAATTTACCACCAGGCAATGTCTTATTTCCTCCTCTTTCATTTTAACAGGAGGACAAACACAAGAAGGAGAAGGGTGTGCTTGTAGGAGAGAGGGAGGACACAATTCCCCCAGAGTACAGGTTTAATAAGGAAGAACTAGAAAAACTGCCTGCTCCAAAACCCGAGGTGAGACTGAGACAAATTCAGCTCATTCAGACTCTTAAAATGACTCCTCAGGGTCTTTAACTTTTACAAATGATATACAGATGTGAAATGAGCACTAACTGCATGATTGATCTGTCATTCTCTCCCCTCCTCCTGCAGCCCACCATTGGTACTGGTGAGGCTCTGGACATTTTGTCTGGAGACTTCTTGACCTCTTCATCAGCTCCTGCTGTCCAGGCTCCTGTGGTCACCCCCTCAGCTCCCCCTGCACAGGTGCATGCACAGATGCCTCTTTACAATGGAAAAGTCCTATAATAGAAGTAATGATAATTTAACATTTTACATGTTTCTCTGTGATTCCCTCAGTCCACTGAAGACTTTGCTCTAGATGCCTTAGCGGGAGACTTTGTTGCCCCCACTGCTGCTCCAACAGTGAAGTCCGCTGCTTGTGTTCCCACAGAATCTGCCTTAGAGGTAAAAACACAAGCCCAACTCAAGCCTTTTTTGTAAACTCTCTACAACCCCGCAGTTACATCCAAATCCTTTTGTCTGTGTTTGTGCGTAGCTGGCCGCGGGAGCAGACACTGCCCTGGACGCTCTGTCAGACAGCTTGAAGGATATCGCACCCACACCTACCCCGCCTGCCCCAGTTCCTGCCAAAGACATTGTTAAGGTAGATAACTTCAAGTGCACAGCCAGCATGGGTTAATAGAGAATATTGTCAATGTCATAGTGTTTCAGTGCCATAGTGAATATTTTCAATGCCATCAGTGTGTCCTGATGTGTGTGTGTTGTGTGGTTGTTGCAGGAGAAGGAGGTCGTTGAAGAGAGGCTGATTAAGATGGGAGAGAGAGACGACACGCTGCCTCCTGAGTATCGACCCACTGAGGAAGATCTTAAGGTAGTATCTGTCCATCATTTGGGTCCAGACCAAAATATCTCAATTAAAAACCATCTGTTTGCCTTGAAAATTCCCCAGATGATCTTAATGAATTTCGCAATCCCCTGACTTTTCCCCATAAATACAGCCTCACAGGGTTGCTAGGCTAGCTGGAGACTCTTAGCCTTGTTAATTGATCATTTACTGTCTTTAACTTTTAATCTGGAGCAAAAATATAAATTGTGTATTTACAGTATGTAGTAGTAGTGTCAATTTTTACTCTGTCTAATGTTCATCTATTTGATTTTAAAGAAAATGGCAGAAGAAAAGGCGAAAGGAGACACAAAACCCAAGGAGGTAAAAATGCACACACACACACACACACACACACACACACACACACACAAAATATGACAGAGAGCACTGTTAAATGATACAAACTGTGTATAAATGACAGTTCATTTCCTGTCTCTCTGTTGAAGACTATGGATGATAAAACAGCCTTGGATTTGCTGTCCAGTGACTTCGCCACTGCCCCCACGCCCACCACACCGGTTGAATCATGTGCTGCATCATGTGCTGCCACGACAAAGCTGGAACCATCTGTGCTGGACTCAGATCCCCTGAAGGTAGCACAGAGACATGAACTGTGACACATTTTGATATGTCACAGTGAGAAAAAGCAAAGGTGTAACTAATGTTGGTCCCATTTCAGTTAGGGTAGACAGGTATTGTGCATGGAATAGCTTACTGAGACACTTTATATAAGCCATAATTAAAATTTTTACTTCCACGTGTGCTTTTCATTCTATGACAGTCAAAATGTCTGCTCAAACAAGGCCTATTATGGTGCTACTGTATGTGGTGCTAACTGCTGTCATGCTTTAGTACAGCACTTCCCAAAGATCACTTCATGCAAACGCTGTCTTCTGATTTTCTTTTGATTAAAGGAGCCGTATGTGACATTCAGAGCATATTTATGATTCAGAGTAAACACTTCTCCCAACATGGAGGGGGCTGAGCTGGCAGCTAGCAGCTAACCTGCTAACAGGGCTAACTGTGTTAACAGGAGAGGGGGACTGGAGAATGAGGGTTACGCTTCTGGGATGACACCATGGGTCAGGACGGCATTATCAGCTGTACCTGCTGTATGAGCGCAGTGCAGAGCAGTAGTGATTAGCTGGCCAGTGGGATACACACCGTCTACCACAGCAAAGAACAGAGAAGCTCGGACAATACACACACATAGAAAGCGTGACTTCATTTTTTGCTCAGGACGCCAAATATAGGAGTTTGCTGCTATATTTATGCTTTGAATGTCCCGTACTGCTTCATTAAATTTTTAGATACAACCTTTACCAACACTGGGCTTTAGAAAATAAATGTAGGGAGTCGAAATTAGCAATTAAAAGTGGCAAAACGAATATTGATTTATACTTGTTTCAGTTTCTAACTTCAACAACTGTAGTTCAGCACATTAATGCATTATGAGCTGACCATGTTTTATAATAATCATGTATGTATTTATTTTTCTTTCCCAGCCAATGCCTGCTCCTGTCCTGGACACCCTGTCTGGCACCCTGCTCCCAGATGAGCTCAAATCTAAATCAGACAAACCAAAGGTAAAAAATCAGGGTGTAAGGTGGCTCTAACAGATGACATTACTCATACAGTTAACGTTACAGACTAACAAGAGACCAAATGCAAAGCTTGACATCCCATGGTAACATTTTGTTGTTGACTAATGGCGTTCACAAGTACTGATGTTACAAACGTTTAGTTTTCATTGTTACATGGCGCCCTCTGCAGGTTGTTTACTAGCACTTAGTGAATCAGCGGGCACCTCCTCAAGGAGAAACGAGGAGTGGTTGAGCCTAACCAAGGTGTCGACTTTGTTACAGGGCAAGAGCAAGTCAAAGTCAAAGTCTAAAGTAAGCAAACTGCCTGCTGCATGAAGACTAAAATTCAGTTGGACATGCACGATCATGGACAAAATCTGTGCTAAAATATCTTCTAAAACTGAACCAAAGTAAAAATCTCCACCGGTGGAGTCTGAACAAAGCTGCATGTGATGAACTCTCCTGTCTCTGCTTTGGCTGATGTTCATTTCCCTTAACAATCACATCAAATCTATACAATTCTTGCATGCAGAGGCGCCGCTATTCCTTTTTCTTTATACATTTTTTAAAACTTTAACCTTGTGTTTCAGAAACACCACGCAGAGGTGCCGTCTGCCACTGACGAGCTACCAGCTCAGCCAAGCTCAGATGTTGTGCCAAAATCTACAAAGAAGGGAAGCAAGAGATAGACCACTTGGTACGGTTTGTTCGCATCTTTCGCACAATTTTACCTGATTAAGATGCTCAGATTTAACACAGATCTTTCCACTGACTGCTGTATGTGTCACGTGTTTCAGGTTCATGGTGCATTTTGTCCTCCTGGCCACAGAGATGCATCAGTGAGGGAGCTGCTCTCTGGATAATGATTCTATTTTTCTAAATCATCGAGAATGTATATTGGATGAAAGACACACCTCGACATGCCCATAACACTTGCTCAACGCACACTCACACACACACACACACACACACACACACACACACAAAGATGCACAAACACACACACACACCTCTGCATGCAGCGCCTTTTTTTGCTCAGTATCATGTGTATTTTTAAGGGCGAGAAGATTTTGGTTTCAGTCTTTGGAGAAAATGAAAGTACTTTTCAAAGCAAGATGGAGAGTAAAAGAATGAGAGATGAACGGACAAAGAAAGGAGGGGAACTGTGGGGAAAGAAATGAGATTAGTTTTGTTGGTTGGTGTGTTGAGCGTGCCGAGGAAAGGAAGGCGTTGCCCGTCAGAGTCCTGCATGTGCATCTTAGCTGACAGTTTTTCCAGCGATACACTAACATCACAACACACTTGCTTGTCTCAGCCTGGTGGTGTTGTGACGTTAGTGGGAGCAGTGGGGGCTGTCAGTTGGCGTGGGAGCTGTACAGAGTGGGTGTATAGTATCGGGATGTTTGTGCAATCTTGATGTACACAAAAAAGCCAAGTTTTCTATCATGATGTGGTCGGATGCCATTAAAGACACTAGTGTACAGCTTAGTTCGCTTATATTTTGGTCAACACAGTTTACATGATTAAATGTGTGGAGGATTTCCAGGAGGTGTTCCGCTTAATTCTGTATCCGAGAGCTTTTTGCAAATGCCTTTTACTTTCTGTAGAGAAATATCAATTCAAGAAAAGGGTCTTTTGTATGTATTTGGCTTTGTAGAGAAAAAAAAAATGCTGGTGTCCACAAGTGCACTTAGTGAACCGAGGAGGTTACAAGCTTTGTCAACCCCCCTTGTTTGTATACTGTAAAAAATGAAAATAAAAAAAATAAAAAAAAAAGATTTTTGCTCTATATAAAACAACACTGTATAATTTACAAAGGGCTTTTAGCTGTAAAGTTAAAAATCAATATACTGTCCCCAAGTGTTTGTTTTCCATGTCAAAGGTTTGTGTGGGTGTGAGTCAAAAGATATGAGAGGTGTTTTAGATGTGGGAATACTAATTAAATAAAAAAAATCTAAAAATTTCAATGGTGTAGTTGCGGTATGAGTCTGGTTTGTACAATTTGTGCCAAAATGAGAAACGAAAACTAACATGAACTGCCGTAATATGTGGGGAAAAGGTTAAAAAATACATCCAGGAAATGAATAAACACTGTTTTCTTAAAGGTGTAAGGGACGTACGTGTGTGTGTGTGTGTGTGTGTGTGTGTGTGTGTGCGTGCGTGTGCGTATTAAACTCAACAGGGAACAGAATCTCCTCTGAAAATTTCTGTCTCTACTCCCAGCTTCGTTGTTTTTCACTCTGCGTACAGTTGTAGCAGCCCACTTCCTTTTGACTCGAGGGGGCTTACAACGAAACAAATATCTCTCGCTTGAGCTTCATGTCAAACTTTATGTTTCTGTACCAAAACCCTGAATGACTGATGGGGATGCAAATGAGTGGGTTTGATGTGCCAAAGAAAAAGAAGAAAAAAATATGAAACAAGAATAAAGACAAATAAAATCCATTGTTTTTTGAGTGGTAATCTATTTTATTTTAGTTTTTTTTTTTTAAACAACATTTCAAGTTACAAAAACTCAAGCAGTGGGAGAATTCTACAAAAATGTACCTTCAATTTTACAAAAAAAAAAATTGTTCCTCATTCCTTTGCAACCGTAGAAATTTGCATAATGAGAAATGTTACTTTTAAGGAAAAAAAATAATCAAAGCTTAACAATATAGAAATTAAAATAAAATTTAAAAAAAATCTAATTATCTTGCTGGATAGAGAGAAATGTATTACTTTTATTGTTTTTTGTTACTGGGATTTTTTTTCAAGCTAAAGACAAATTAAGTTTTTGTTTGAAAATGTTAACATAACAAAAATAAAGGGCAGTACAATCATTAAGGTAAAAAAAATAATATACGGAGACTGCTGGAAAAACATAAACAGTTTAACATTGGCTTTGGCTCTGTACAAAAAACCAAAATTAATTATATACACTTTTTGCAAAAATGTCAACATAAACATAAATTGTGCTTATTTCTAATATTTTATTCTCAGGTCTTTAGTGGGTTCTGTTATAAACATTCAGGGGACTGGATAAATCCATATTTCATATCAAGATCATCAAAAGAGTTCAATCAGAATGTGGTAACGCTGCCACTGACGATGATTTTTCAACACTTCTCACTGTCTATCACAAACAATGAAAACTTAAGGTGGCAGCAAAATATTCACCATAAATGTGATTAATCTGAATAAGATGAAAAATTATTTCTGCAACAGCAACATGAGACAGTAATGAATTTGTCATTGAAAGCAATGTCTGTTAAACTGCACCATATTTAGATTAAACGTGTCTGTTGTTCATCTTTGGTTTTCCAGGAGCCACCACCCGTGGTCTATAGGAGAAAAACAAGGTATTTAAAATTCTAATTCTGAATATACTCATACTATTTATAATAATAAACAGTTTATTTCAGTGACTCAGTTCTGTGCTCACAATAGAATTACGAATGAAACGCAGGGCCGTAGCAACAATTGAGAACACTGAGGCTAAGTTTGGCATGTAAAAAGTCAGTATTTCTCCACACAATATCCCTGGCAGTGTGGAAAAGTCTTTGAAACAGCATTTAGAAATAAAACTCTAAAACTTTATTTTACAGCTGTGTAATTTTTTATAATTACACAGAAATTACGACAAAGCTCTGAGAGTATTGTTTTTTTTTTTTTTTCAATTTTCAGATTGATTTCCTTGAAAGGACTTTTAATTAAATCTAAAACTTGCAGAAAATATCACAAACAACTTAATGAATAAATATGAAAAACAAGTTTTTTTCGACGCGTTCATTTTGGTGTTTGGGGTGATGTGGTGAGGATTAGGACTATTGACCTCGGTATTCCTAAAATTCTGGCTACGGCCCAAAATGAAAAGATGACATTAGCTTAACAGAAAAACAAATAAATAACCTACTTTCTTTTGTAATGGTGTGGGCATCTCCGAGTCCTTATTTCTACATAAAATCCAAAGTGTTATTCAAAACTTTGCAAATTATTACACACATACTACAGCAAAATCATTCTAGTTTTGAAGAAAGAAAATAAATAAATAAAAATAAACAAATGAAAGAATTTAAAACAAATTTCAGCTCTCCAAAGCACAGACATTTATTGACTGTATAGTAAACTTACAGTAAAACAGGATGTAACTGGCTATGTGAAGGCGTTTTTGTACATGAAAGAGGTGAACTTACGGTTGCAGTAGATGGTGGTGGCGATGAGGAGTAGAAGAAGAAGGCCGCAGCCGCCGGCCAGAGGGCCCAGTATGATGAGAGAACAAAATAGTTGAGGACTGGTTTCCCCTGCAAAGCATGTGCTCTTTTACCACCAGCGTCATACACATGCAGATAAAAAGGACTCCACACAGATGTGACTGTGAACATTTACCTGGCTTGTTAGTGTTGCTACAAACACACGGCGTGGCGGTTGTGCATAGATTTTGTTGGGTGGTGGTGGCCTGTGGTGGTGCTACTGGGACTTTGACTATCTCTGAGGGGAGATAAAAGATGTGAAGTGATACTAAAAAAGCATCTACCTTATCATCATTTGATCAAATGTATGAAAGAAAACTCACCTCCAACCAGTCGGGTTGCTTTGCCAAACTTCAGCTCATTACCTCTGTAGAGAGACCCACAGTTGTAAACGCCACTGTCTTTAGCTTTGTTAAACGCCTTCAGTGTGAGGGTATATTGCTTGCTCTGTGAGACACTGAAGGTGGAAGAGAAGGACGTGGAGGATGACTTTAGGACGCCAGTGCTGCTGAAAGATGCGATGAATTCCACACTAGATGTGTCGAGAACTCGAAACCAGATGACCATGGTGCCCATTGCTTCAGGCTTACAATTGATATCAATCTGCTGCCCTTCCTTTACAGTTACGTCTTCACCGGCTCCTGAAGTCATTTCTACAAGATGGAATAAAATGAGAGCAGTAATATCATTCACCTCTCTGTTTTCAGGTACCCAAAAGTAAAAAGGCTACAAAACAGATCAGAGGATGCTTTAAAGCTACCTTACGGAAGTGAATAGAAAATTTAAAAATTCAGGTTAAACTTACGTCGACAAATCAGCAGAATCACCAGCACACGAATCCACTTTTGGTCCATTTTTGTGTTGCAGATGACAATGTTTGCGAAACGCGTCTTTGTGGTGTTTGTTAGAGCCTGTTGGGAGATAATTCAGTGAGATAGCAAACCACGCCCCACCTGTAACCTTCTTCTCTGCTGTGTCAAATGGCATCATTGCAGCCGAGCGTTGCAGAGACCTCCTGCAAGCACGGTCGTGGTCTGCAAGATGTTTGATGTTGAGCCCCCTGATCTGCACTTTACACCTCTGCCTCTGGTTTGAAGCATTGAACAGCACGACTTTATCCACCATACTGACACACAAACGCAGCAGTGCATGGTATGTAGGCTGAGAAGGACGGAGATAGGAAGTGTAAGAACAGTCTGCGTTGCACCCCACATTATACAAACACAAATCGACACTGTTTCCGCATGAGTAAAATCAATTTCAAGAATTTATACTCGATGTAGGCAAGAATCCACCCTGCTGAAGTGTCTTGGAGCAGCAGGGCTGCCGCTTTGTAGCTGACTTTGACCTTTGACCTCCCTCCTGTGTTTAAAGAAGCGGTGAAAAGATCAACAATAGCTTTTGGAGTGCCAAAAATTACTGATTTTCCTGGTGAAATTTAGTCACAAATGTAATGGGTCTGAGGAGAGTTAGAGACAAGTATATGGAAGTCACATTAGCAAACGGGTCTCATAGGAGTCATTCCACTTAAAGGGATTGTGCACCCAAAAATGAAAATTCAGCCATTATCTACTCACCCATATGCCGACGGAGGCCCTGGTGAAGTTGTAGAGTCCTCACATCCCTTGCGGAGATCAGCGGGTGGAGCGGCTAGCATACCTAATGGTAGACAGCGCCCCAGACTAACTTCCAAGAACACAAAATTGAATCCACAGAGTACCTCCATACTGCTCATCCATAGTGATCAAAGTGTCCTGAAGCCCCGACATAAAAAGTTGTTTCGAAAAACATCATATGAACTCTGTTTTTAGCCTCACTGTAGCCTGTAGCTCTGACTGCTTCTCTGTGCTCCGCGTTCACGTGTGTGCGCGTTCAGGGTGATCGGTGATCTGATGCACGGTCTCTGAAGAGCAGCAGTCTCGTCAGTATTGATGTCCAGATTCTCAAGTGCAGGCATCGCCAATTCCCAGTCTGAGCAGCAAAGACTTTCCTCATCCATTGGCATTGCTTTGCATTTGAAACAACTACACCACCAGGTTTCCAGTGCTCTACTCCGGTATTATGCGGCTGGCTGAGGCTCATGAGCTGTGGCGGCTGCTTCGTCCAGTAGCCTGAGTTCCGTCCGTATACTCGGGCTCAAACAAATATGGCTCAACAAAGAAATGCTGTTCCTCCTCAATTTCAAAGTCTTCAGACATTTTGGGCTGTCCTTTACTAAAAGTCCGTAGTGCAAATTATCTTTTAGCTACTGTGGTTACGTTGTCTCCCCCTGCGGTGCACGTGTCACTTGATGTAAACACGGGTGAGCAAAGCTCGTGCTTTCACTGGTCTCGTGCAAGTGCGCACACGTGAGCACGCAGAAGCAGTCAGAGCTACAGGCTACAGTGAGGCCGAAAACAATGTTCATATGAAGTTTTTTGAAACAACTTTTTATGTCGGGGCTGCAGCACACTTGGATCACTATGGATGAGCAGTATGGAGGTACTCTGTGGATTCAATTTTGTGTTCTTGGACGTTAGTCTGGGGCGCCGTCTACCATTAGGTTTTCTTGCCTCTCCTCCCGCCTATCTCCGCAAGGGATGTGAGGACTCTAAAACTTCACCAGGGCCTCCGTCGGCATATGGGTGAGTAGATAATGGCTGAATTTTCATTTTTGGGTGCACTATCCCTTTAAGGTCACCGTGTCCAATTTGAATCTGACAAGTCACCTTTCTACCAGATACCAGAAAAAGTAATCATAGGCAAGCAATATTACACCAGTAAATAATATAAAAGGTAAATATGTCCTAAACAATGTGCTCTGATCTCATATTGTGTCTGCAGGAAGACATTAGATCTGCTGTGATGTCCCTGTCTGCCTGCTGTTGTGTAAGGTTTGGTTTCCTGGCTCAGAAGACAAAAGGCTGAGTGGTGTAGGACATCAAGAAATGGTCTACACCTGAGGAGCTTTAAGTGGTTTCTCACCTCACTCTTTTTTGTCTTTTGTTCAGTCCACACGACGCTTCCGCAAGTGGTCCTCGTTGGCATTTCATTCTATTTTAGCATAACCGGATTTCACTGTGAACCTTTAGTCATGTGTGACTCCTTGTCACTTAGAGTGCTCAAAGTTTATGGCCTACAGAACTTATTTTAAAAATGTGTTAAGAGTCTAGTAATGCTGATTATATCACGCTGATGGGCATCACTGAAATGAAACTTTCATATTGTAGCAATGAGGTCAAATTATTTTCACAGTATGACAATGGCTTGCTAACTTCAAAAAAATGTATCTGTGTCATTCGGCTAACCACACCCAATGTGGCACTGTGTTAACATGCAGTGTCACGTCACTGCAGCAAGGTGAACATTTTTACAGCTAGATGGCAGCAAAAGCAGGATGTATAGCTCTGTCACTGATTAATCAATCAATCACTGAATCATGACTCAAAAACCTGCTGCTCTGCTCTGCTGTGCTCTGCAACCTGACAGTGTGTTGCAGTACTGGTCACGGCCCACTCACTCATGTGACGACAGGTGGGTAGAAAAGCTAATGGAAAACATCTGCTGTGAGGAGAGGAGCAATAAATGGCCCTTAAATGACCCTGATGATGTCATCGGGGGGTATTTTTGAATGAAATCCTTTTGGCTTGGACTTGACCACAACTTTTCTTTAGCAGAGAGCCTGTGTTACAAAGGAGATGTGAAATTTGACATGGGCAGGCAACCATGGTCTTAAAGAGATGTTACTGAGTTGCATTATGGGAAAGGCAGGATCCAGTGTTTTGGCACCTTGGCCTATACTTGTATCTAATAGTCAGGATAGCTCAGGCTCTGCTGCTTCAAATTTGACTGATTTTGAAACTTTGTGAAAGTGGAATACTAAATTCTGGAGTATCCCTTTAAGATGTTTTTAGAGCTACTACTTGGTTCAACTTTAATCTGCTGTAGCTGTGTGCACAGTCCTGTGTGTTACAGTCCAGTGGAAGATATTTTGACAGTTTTTGTGTGCTTACCTTTGGGTTTACTTCCAAATGAATGAATTACGTAACTAGGCTCAGGTAAGTGGACATGTTTTGAACCTATCTTATGGATATGTAAAGCTGTATTGAACTATTAAGTAAAATCTTAGCACAATCAATAGGAACAAAGATAACAAAGCATTTTCCATTTTCAACAAAGGACATATAGCTTCTACCCTTTCCTCCTGTGACCCTGCACCCTCATATGAAGACATTACATTTTGGGCTTGCTGTACATCATATGTCATTCTGTTTAACTTATACCAGCGGTCCTCGTGAGTGGACACCTTTTTATGCCATCTAGTCATAGTGAAAAGCACAATACACTTATCAATGTAAAAATAAGATGGCGGGTATCTCTGCCTAATCTGTTTAAAGTCAATCCTGACACAAAAATGGACACAGTATTAAACCTGATCAACTGTTATGGTTGAAACTGTTTTATTTATGCTTAATAATGTTTGTAGTTTGATATTGCAAAGAAATTTGACCATTTTTTGCAATAATAACAAGAAAAGACACTGTTAGGAAGTACTTGTTTGAAGACGTTGGGACTTTATTGTATTACCATAGCATTAGGTATGACAGACTGTTGCTACAGACATCTCTAGCTTGGAGTATGGAGCAAAGAAAATTCTTGTAGAGTTCAAAATGTTGCATTGTTTGCAATTTTGTTTTTGCACGACCATGTTCAGGCATTGAAATGAACAGTTATGAACAGTTTCAGACTTCAACAATGACCCCTAACCCATAGAGTTACAAGACACTGAGCAAATGTTGCATTGTTTGTAATTTTGTTTAAATAAACAGTTAAATACTTTATCACACACTTGTGAGTATTGAAAATATTCAAAATTCAAAAATGCATACCAAACACAAGCTTGAGTGTCAGGAGGTCTATGGCAACCTTTAAGCATCATGTCAGCTGTCACTTCTTGTGAAAGCTCGTCTAGCGGGGAAGTGAAACCCCCTTCAGATAAACTACGAGAGAACGAGAGCAGCTATGGCGCAACCCAGGGCCCGTCCTATTTCCTGTTCAGTGATGGAAAGTAAATGCACCAATTTAGTAATGGTAAGTGGGCGCTTTATATCTGTTCCATGGGTGGGAGGAGAGAGACAGAGAGAGAGAGACAAACAGAGAGGGAGGATAAAATAACAGACAGAGCAGAGACAGTATTATTGTTTTATTGTGTTCTTTACCCTTCCATACGATCTCCTCAAAATGCAGGTGCCTGACTTTGTTATTTGTGTTTCATTAATTACTTTGACATTTATTTCAAGTGAAACCATGATGGAAACCTGGTTCAGGTTTCAGTTAGAGGGGGATTCTGTTGATGCAGTGTGATAGAGGGAAGACCTAGTCAAAACGCTCAGTTAGCCCACCTCACCTTTCCATATCTCTGTTTCAGGTTTGAGTCACTCACAGTCACACCTGCATGGGCTTCCCTATCTTAGTCACACTGGGGTCTCCAACCTGAAACTTACATCCTACTATGTATGAATGTGTGTGTGTGTGTGTGTGTGTGTGTGTGTGTGTGTGTGTGTAGTGGGTGACCAGGGGAAGCCAGTGAGAAAGAGAGTACCCTGTACAGTAGCACTGCATAGCTTGACATTTAAATGCAGTCAGAAGAGACATCTTTACAATCTGAAAATAGCAGCGCCTTTGTACCAGTGAATCAACATCACTACCTGTTAGCTTGTTCACCAGTTCATCATCACTTTGGCTCACCTGTCACCGCTCTGTTGCTGTACTGGAAGTTCAAGGCATAATGGGATGTGAAGTTGTGAAAAGGAAACCAAGAGCGACAAGAGGAGTAAGTAGAAACGGAGAGCTCAGACATGGAGGAATTGAACTCACGCAGGTGCCTGCACACAAATACCTTTGCTGATAGTTTCTTTTGTTACTTCCTGTTAGAACTGTATAAGTGGGTTTTGGGAAAAAAAATAATATCCATATTTAAATATAGCTTGTGCTTAGAAAGCTGAATTTGAGTCAACAAATATATTTACATGGGAAAAGTTTAATGCATTATGTCTGACTTATTTATAATGTTATATATTGATCAGTTTGTGAGTTTGATCAGTGAATTAGGTAACGTGTGACCAATGTGACCTTTAAAATATTTGTCAGTTGATCTTGTAAAGGCTGAGTTGACATTTAAGATAAGATAAGATAAGATGAAACTTTATTGATCCCACACTGAGGAAATTCACGTTACAGCAAGCAAGTTGAATGGCAATAGAATACTTATAGAATATAGATAAAATTCAAAAAGATATATATCAGTAATAGAAAAATAGAAAATATTAAGTACTAAATTTAGACACAACTATACACTCAATACTATTTACACTATATACACCTTTCACTTATGCATATGTGGAAAAAAGAATATGTATATATGAATATTACAGTACATGTTGTCTGCTGGATTTCACCACAAATAGCCTGGTGTTATTGTATTCATAGGACGTGACATTGTTGCCTTACATTCATGTATTTGAAATCAGAAGTTTTTGTTGTTTCCTAAGTGATGTAATATGCTGGTGTGTGTAACACATCTTTCATCATTTAAATGTTATGGATTTAAAGTTAAAACTCTGGCATTTTACAGAGCTGATGACTGAACACTGATATATCTGATATGTTTTCACCATGCAGTATTTGTAGTTATGGTGATGGATGAGAAATTTTCAATATTAAGTCCCATTATTCACATGGAAACTGTCTGTTATCACATTTGCCTATGTGACAAATTTACAAGTGTGTTTTGTAATATATAACTACATATATTTAAATCAACATTGCCTACAGTGAAATGTAGTTACATTGGATTATGCGTCAGTTCAACATCTGCCTCATATTGTGCCCCTTCGTCTTTTATTCCTTTGTTTATCTGAGATGTACAGACTGTGTTCAGTTGAAATGGTGACAGAAGTTAAAATTACAGAATACCTGTGGAGGAAACCGTTGTGCCCTCATGTACAGTTTATTACTGTTGGGTGTATTTATTACATTTTAATCTGTTAAGTGATAAGATAAGCCTTTATTGATCCCCAGAAGGGAAATTCGGTTGTTGCAGCAACAAGGACAGAAATAAATACAGATAAGTAGAGAAAGTCAAAAATTAATAGTCACGGGTATATAAGTAAAAGTAAACACTTAACATTTAAACCCTAATATTAATATGTCTCTCTAAAACTTTAACATGTTAACAGATAATTTAATTTGACTATATTTATACTTAACATATTAAAGGTAGTAACAATAAAACATTTCAGACGTGAACTAAAGCTGCAGGATTCTACACACACAGATGGTTTACGTAATATATTGTGTATTGTTGACCATTTTTACATGTATTTTATTTCTAATTTCTTGTGTTTTAAATATCTATACCTGTATTTATCACCATCAAACACCAGAGATCAATCCTCTGTATCAGACGTCAGACCTGAATTCATCAACGTTTCCTGGAACTGACAGCTATGACAAAGAAAAACCAAACTTCTCAAGCGTTGACACAGAATGATAATGATATACTGTGCATGCAGTTGTTAGTTAATTACTGTAGGTATACCTGGTTTAAGTGTCTTACACAGCAGTCCTGCAATGAATTCTACCTTTATAAAGGTTATAATAATCAGTTTCCTTTACACTGTTTTTGAAAGATGCTGATTCAGCTTTATTATCTTCAGAGTCGTTGACCTAGATGGACTGTGTATTCCATCCAATGACAGTAGCTGGCAACTGAATGTAATCTTGGTCTACTTTACTTAAACTGTATATGAGATACAACATGAAGGCAACGGTTTTAAATGAAAATAGCACTGATGCTGCATTTGTCTGATTTTGTTATTTTAACTTAACCACTTTTTACCCTAATCACAGGAATCAAAGTGATCCCTTGCTGTCCTTATGATTTACTACAATACTAATTTATGATTCATTATATAATAAACACTCTGCCCCACCTACACACAAGCAAACACACACACAACTCTGTACCTCAACACTTGTGAGGACACGTTCATTGACATAATGCACACCTTAGCCCCTTACTCTAACCCTTCATTATCACAGCTTAATGCCTAGCCCCAACCCTTACCTAAAGCCAATTCAAGCCTGAACCTTAAATCCAAGTCTGAATTCTCAAACAGGTCTTTAAAGGTCAGTCTGAAGGTGAAGTGAAGGTCCTCACTTTCCAAAAATGTCCTCACTCTCAAGGTCTAAAACTCAAACTGGATCTCACAAACATATATGGAAACGTACACACATGTATGCATAGTCAACAGTGATGTATCTTGTATCTTATTTTTATATATATCCAATAAAACACACTGCAACAAGAAGTGTCTGTGAGTTTTTATCTTTATTTTTTCTTACTGTACTCATTTCAAAACTGTAACGCTCTTTCTGTCATTCGCTCTCTGTCTCTCTCTCTCTCTGTGTCTCTGTCAGTGCTTGTGGTTCGGTCTGTGGTATTTTTGCGGTCTTTTTGTTTCGGAGACTAGATGAAGAGCTCAAAGCTGAGCGAAGCGATAGTATCTCAGTGAACACGGCTCTGCCTCTCCTCTCTTCTCTAGCACACAGGAAAGGGTCGCGCACACTCCCTGAGACCTGAACAACCACCAACTCAGTCGTTTCTTCACACTCCTCAATCGCACAGGTGTGCGTGTGTGTGTGTGTGTGCTTGTGTGTGTGCGAGAGAGAGAGTAAGAGATACACACACTTTGCTGTAAAACAACTTTGCAGCCTGTATTTTAAGATTATAACAATAAAGCTTGTTGGCACATACTGTCAGTATTTCAACAGAAACTGAATATGATGCAAGTTTACACATCAAAGGTAGAGGAAGAAACCAAACCCTGTCACTCACCTACTCAACTTCCGCAAAACACAATATTGACAATGGATGTACAACACCCACTTCCAAAACTCTTTCTCTTCTTTTCCATACACGTGCACTGAAATGACATGACACAACACTACGCAACACTACAAACACTTTAAAAGAGGAGTTCTTGGCTATCTGCAATATTCATAACTGTCACTGGAGACAAATGCAGCATTTCTCCTCTAGGTTATACCTGTATCATTCCTGCTGTTGCACAAGTGCCCTTGAGCAACATGTCAAACCCAAACTGTCATAATTCTGTGGGTAACTCTGCATGTGGCACATATCTGTATGTGAAAGAGGCACGAATCCTTCAAAATAATGTTTAAGATGTCTTTAGTAACAAATAAAAACATGTTAATGACCTTTAAAAAGAAGAAAGTCAGCAAATTAATGGTTGGAAATATACAATTTTATTGACTTGACAGAATTATGCTCACAGAAAAAAAATCAACTTGACAGTGCTGTTTTAAACAAAACATTTGATAATACTATGAAAGAGAAAAGACAAATAAATACGGAAGAGAAAAAAAGCAAATCAGCAAACACTGTATTTTAGTTTATCTGTTTATTGTTTCATGTGCATTTTGTAAGTAAATAAAAACATGAGGTTTGGGCTTCAATTAAAAAAACAACAACAACTGCCCTGCCCCCTCTTGTTCTGATTTAAAAGTTATCTAAAAACCGAAGCTACAGATCACAAACCTGCTGCAATGAAAAATCATCTCGATAAATGATGATGTCATCTGCATATTGACATGTCAAAAAGTATTTTAGGTGAAAAGTTACCGCACAGAGCTCCGAACTGATGGCACAGGAGCTATCTTTTAATATATGTCACAAAAAAACACAGTCAGTATATTACAATATGTTACACGGCTACTGCTCTTGAGAACAAAACTCTCGCACATTTTGCTGTTGAAGCGCTGGCAGTTAGCAGAGTTTATCTTCAGGGGTCTTCATGTCCTTCATTTGCCACTGGCTCAAGTGAAGCACTTCAGCCCCTGCAATCACAGAGCCAGGCGTTAGTGTGTATAAACGATTTTTAATATTCCTACTGCATAAGCCTCTGGGTAATGTACAAATTGTAGCGGTTGTATATACATTTTGTATGGTGATAAATATCCCACAAACAAAAAATGTTTTATGTTTGAATAAATATATAACACCCATGAGGTACATACTTTGAGTCAGATATAAGCTGTAGATCCAGTGCCTCGGGTCGTCTACCTCCTCCTTAATGGTGAAAAACAAAAGAAAGAGAATGAAGTTTGGAACATAATGTGAAGAATCCAAAAAGTTACAGTTTTTGTTTATACAGGGAAAATTAAAGATCTGTTCAGCATTTACAGCAAACTACTTACTTCGCAAAGTGGTGTCGACACTTTTTGGGTAGCCCTATAAGCAAGAATATGCACAAACACAAGAGAAAACACTTCAGAGATACAACACAATATTTTTTTACTTTTATAGTTCAAAAGTGTTCGACTAGTTTGACAACCATTCGTGAGCAAAATGTGCTGAATCACTACTCACGGCTGAAGTAGTACAGTGTGCAGATAAGAGCTAAAGCCAGGCCCGCCAGAAGTCCAACCAACGGCCACAGAACCAGGGAGCCACAGCCATCTGGAACAAACATATATGGTTTTATTCAGATGTATGTAGCTTGCTGCATCGGCGAAACAATCATTACATGGTTATATCTTTCAGCACAATCTGTTATTACATCGTCTTCTATTATGTCAAAATAATGTTGGTTGAGAGCTCAAGATTTATAAATGGTTAATGGACTGCATTTATATAGCGCTTTTCTAGTCTTAGTGACCGCTCAAAGCGCCATTTACCCACTCACGCACACATTCATACACTGGTGGCTGAGGCTACTATACAAGGTGGCACCATCAGATACCACAACCAAGACCTCACACACAGATGGGCAGCCATCAAAAGCAATTTGAGGTTCAGTATCTTGCCTAAGGACACTTCAACATGTAGACTGCAAGGGTCAGGGACTGACCTTCCAACTGGAATATGGCCACTTTACCTCCTGAATCTCCACCAATATTTAAATTCATAGACAAAAACACTTGTACATCATAACACACATATAACATCACATTTGTAAGCAGCAGAGCGTCATACAAATTTCACACTGCCACATTAACATTATAAAAAAATTCGAATAACTTACCCTGTGGAGAATTCTTCTTAGGACAGCGACAAACTGGTTTTACTGGTGGTTTGGGTTTGTTTTTTGGCTTTGGCGGTAATGTTGGAGGGATCACTGTAAGATAAACACCAAACAACCATAAAGACAAATCATTACTTAACAGCAGTGACAAATATAAAGAATCTTTTAGGGAAAGATTAAAGAAAAACCTAGTAATTTTTTAACCCGTCCCATTTTTAACCATCGTTATCCATCATAAAAAAAAAAAAAAAAAAAAGATCCAGACCAGGATCTCATTTAACAAATCCTCTCTACAAATTCATCATGTACGTCGTCTGTCTGTGTGTGACTCTCCAGCGCAGTCCTATCAGGCCAGTGGACAGGTATTGTTCAGATTCTTTTTTTCTTTTTCAGCTCATAAACTTTCATGGATTGATGTGTACATTTTACACACACATCTAAATAGTTCGATCTATTGCGACTATTTTCTTTTCGTCCATGATGTAGAAACTTTTTACTATTTCTTTTACTCTACATTAAATCTGCATCCATGTTGACAAGCGGCACCAGTTGTATTGGACTTCCACACCCAGATAAGCAAGAGAAATTATAAGAAGCGCCAAGATTTTTTTAATTTAATAACTCTGGAGAAAAGGAATAAACACATCACATTTTAAACTATTATTGAGGGATGGTAGGCAGTGAGGAGGTGTAGTTCATGAAACATACTTAGAGAGGGGGACATGAGACAAACTCAAACTGGAGACGCTGTAGTTACATGGTACGTGATATCATATCATTATTGGAAGTGACAATCTTCCTTTTAAAATAAATCTGAATATATTGAGTAAGATGTCACAATGCACCAGATTTAGATGCAGAGGGTGCATTTAGCCCCTTAAATCATTAACTCTCACTTAACTCTCACTGCCGCTTGATATTTCACTTAATATTTCACTGCTGGAAATGAAGCACTTGAGATTTCAGCATACAAACCTCCTGGCCGAAGAAGAATCCCTGACTTCCACATTTCCATGTTTTTCCTGCCCTTGAGAACACAAGAATAAATCCCCGCGTCCTTCTCTGTCACATTGGTGATTCGTAGCGTAAAGGACACACCGCTCCTCCTGCTTATTTTGAACCGAGCCACGTCCACACCATCCCCGTAGGTATCACGGTCAGCGTTGTTGCATTTGCCTATGTACTGTACTTGGAGATGGTTGGACATAGTGCGGAACCAGTAGACGTAGTCACAGGTGATGTTAGTGCAGTCACACTCCATAATCTCTGTACCGAGGATCTGAGGATAAAGAACCTTGACGGGTTCTTGTTGCAGAACCTGGCCTGAACCTAGAAGTAGAAAGAGAGGGATGTTTGAGATTTCGACAGACGCATGCTTATAGTACACTAAACAACTCCTACAAACCAGTATGTTCAGGGTCGTATATCGTTAACTGCCTTGTAACAAAGTCAGGGCCAAACATCCGAACTCCTACGAATTATGTATTATTAAAAAATGTTATTTAATCTCGTTTTGCTGTCTCAAGCCGACCTGTCCATCATTTGGTGTTTAGAAAGGTTGGAGGAAAATCCCTAAGACCCAGTACATCTGCTGTTTCTCCTCACAAAATTAAGACTAATTAAGTAAAAGCACATACAAGGAGGCCTACTCGTGCTTCAAGCAAAAAAGAAGAAATCACAAACATCACAAACTGGCGGTATGATACAGAAACTCCACAACTATCACCAAAAGTGTTGCAAGAATGGAAATGAAGCAGAACTATGAAGAAACCTCTCGTACATACTTCAAACTCTGTGAAGGTGACATTTTGACATTGCTGTATTGGGAGACTGATTTATTGTTCCTTCGCTGGAAGAGCTATTTCATCTTATTTTAGATTCAGTTCTAATGCCTGCTGTGTGTGTGTCTCTGAGTCAGGTATGTAGGCACATACCTGTTGCAATCACTAGTCTTATGAAATATCTACAGATGAGCAGAGATTTAAAGGATTCCAGTGTGCAAAAGTCTCACTCGTAGTCGAGTCTTTGGATGATCATTTTGTTCTGCCCAACATGAAATGCACAAATTGCGTGACGTTCTATAATACACCTATTGTTTTAATTTTTATCTAATGAGTTGCGCCACACAGTACAAATTAATTTCACTGCCTTGACAGAGCAACAACACATATAAAAAACAAATGTAAATTGATATGGAGCGATTGCAGAGGCCAAACATGTAGTGTACTGTTACCTTCATTTATCATCATTGTATCTAATCCACATTGTACACATTACATTGATGTAACAGTATCAGTAACTTAGACCAGTATAGTTGTTTAATTCTGAGATATACCATCATAGCTACTTGCATGGAAGTTTGACCATAACTACGGTTGTATCACTGTACTTGTTCTGTTTAAATCGTCTGTGTCATCTGCTGGACTATTAAAAACAAATTTCACCTTTAAGTACAAACTATGGTTATGGCTGTATTAGATGCATGTACACAAAATTTAAGTTAAACATCAGACCAACTTCAGTTTGAGAAGACAACAACACATCCCTTGCTTCAGGCCCCTGAGTATCGATGTCGAGAATGCTTGAGGCATACGCGATGATAGAGGAACTTAGTGGTCATACCTGATGTCCACAGCGATGCTGTCAACAGTGTCCATGCCAGTAGCAGGAGGATCATTTTGTCCGGTTGCCAGTCTGTGTACACGCCTGTGAATCCGAAGTGGTAGCTGAGATACAGTGCTGATAGTTTCTTTTCCTGCTAACTATCTGACAGAGATGATGAGAGGAACTGAGCTGACAGGGCCCTGTGTCATCAAGGTAACACCCCAGTGTGACACACACAGGGCCTATCAGAGTGGGCTAAAGTACTAATACACACACACACACACACAAACACACACACACACACACAACTGGAAAAAAATACTAAATTTGAAATGTGCATAAAACATCACAGACAACTTGCAGAAAGGGTAAGATATTAAGAATATACAACATGTGATTCTGACATTCTCGACTCCGTTTACTTAAAAGTATAAAAAGTATATACCTGCCAAATAAAACTTTTCACCTCAGAGATGCAGATTTTTAAAAGAGAAAGATGCAGCTCAACATACATGACACACATACAGTGATCATGAAACACAGCTGAAAATGTGGTGATGTTTGATCCGAGCTTATCATATCAAACAATAAAAAAGTTGTGTATTCACAGAGCAGCAGTTTGCAGTGTTGTGGTCTCTGCCCAGGTGCATGACCTAGAGCTCAGCAGAGTTCTACATATGCAGCTTCATGCCTCACTGCAGTGCACGTCGAGGGAATACCAATGTACGGAGCCTTAACTTCAGGTGCATGAAATGAAGGATCAGTGATACAATCCCTGATCCATAATTCTGTAAATTATTGTTAAATATCCACTGGTGTGTGTGTACAGTTTCTTCAGTTCTGTCTTATAAATTACTTGTTTTTTTAAAACTTAGCCTCGAGTACGGGGTATAAAGTGTGTCAAGACATATATTAAGACAGAACGACAACAAAACCCTGTGAGATTTGTGCATGAGAAAGGTAACACAAAGCATTTTTGCAAAACAAATCGTATACATTCTGAATATTTCGACTTCTACTCTGTGGTAAGAAAAAAAAATGTATCAATTCAAATCAGGAAAATGTAGTAAAATAGTAACATCACTCAGCTTAGTTTTAGTTGAGTTTGAGTTTCTTTCGGTTGACCATAACTTGTCCAGACTCATTTCTGTCTTGTTATATAAATCCTTATGGAGATAAAATGGAGACATTTACTTTCTAAATTCATTCATTCTGTTCTCAGTGAAAATGCAGGGGCAACGGACCAATGTGTGCGTGCATATATGTTAAATTTCATCTGGCTTTTACAGACACGACACAAGTAAAGAAGACACATTTAGAAACGTGACTTTTGAATGTTAGTTAGGGCTATGCATTAAATAACTTGTCTAATAATCAATTAATTTGTGTCACAAACCGGTAAGGCAAGAGCCTACGGTGATGTCTTCAAATCGTTGCCAAATAATGATGATGTAAATCAAAGCTAGAACTCACCACGTTAGTTTTACCTAATGACTGTCTTAAACAATGATCTGATTATTAAAATTGTTGTTGATGAATTTTCTTACAGTTGACTAATCGATTAATAAACCAGCTGTTTTAGTACTAAGTCTTTTTATAAACCCTGAATCATTCAGACTGTCTAAGTGATATCGCAATGCCTTATGGAGGTACGCTGCATTAGAAAGTGTCAGGGAGACACAGTTCCTTGCAGTTGATATCTTATGTAAAAACCTAACTTTCAGTCCGTCAGTCCATATTAAAGCATTATGTCCCATTTTTTGACATTTACATTTTGGGGTGGCCATTCAAAAACGAGAACTGACTGTTCAAATGTCCGATTATCTCCAGAACTCAGACTTTTCTTGATAAACCTAGTAAGAGCTTGAATCATCTGACTGTTGTCTGTGGATTGTTCGCCTCTGGATTGTTTTGTGTGTGTGTGTGTGTGTGTGTGTGTGTGTGTGAAAGGATAGGGCTTAGAACGGTCTGGCGGGGGTCTTAAAGTGAGAGGATGTGGGCACCCTATAGCTGTATGGGGGTCGAAGACTCGAGCGAGACAGGGAACGAGACCACAGGATTCTTTGAAAACAGGAGATCTCAGGGGGCTTCAGAGCTGCTCTTTACACATCGCTGAGCTAGAAAGCCTTTGTTGGTCTCTCTGCTCCGACGCATAAAGTCAAAAGCAGCCTTCATTTCTCTTCTCTGCCAATTTTGTTGAAAGTAGTAGTCGCATTTTCAGAAAAGACACTTTACATCCATATTACTGCACATGTTACAGAATGAAGAGTTTGTTTGCTTCTCTGTGGCACTGCTTTAAACAAAGTTGATATCTCACGTCAGACGTTTCTCATCTTACAGGACTTCTGTAGCAGATTAACACCAACTGTTCTGCCACTTCACATGTTTCCTTTGCTATCAACACTGCTACCTTGAACAGTAATTAAGAAGTCATCTAAGGATTTCAAACAATCATTTAACCTAGAGACACACTAGCAAGTTGTGTCATGCATGTTTTTGTTTCACAACACTTGGCTTGAATCCTGTGATACGAATGTCCTTCTGCTCCAACAAGCAATGTGTACAGTTCTGCTCTCAGGATCCTAATACAAATATCTGATGTACAGCAATGACTCACACAGATCCAAAACTTCAGAGTTAGTCCAAATACTGGGCCTCAAAAACCTAACCTTGAACAAATAAGTAGAAGTAGGCCTGTTTGAGCATGTTGTGGAAGGTTTTTATGGCACCAACATCATGAGTATTAATACTAGACCATAATTTTAGTCTGTGCCTGCAAACCCAATCTTCTAGAAATGAACAAAGCCAAACTAGTTCGCTGTAGTAACTTATAAAGCTGCCTGAGAGTTACATCTGCATAGCACTTAAAAGGTTACCCCACATTTTCGTGGACAAAATTCAAAAAATTCTCCATGACTTTTCAAGGACCCATATTAAAATTTCAATGACCATTTACAACTTATGACAAGAATAGGACAGTAGAGTGTACTTTACTCCAAATGTTAAATTATATCATTATAGGCAGTCTGCAGACACGAAGCAATAGAGCTCCCAAAGTGGGGGAGTGACAGTCGACAGTTCGGTTGGCCCGCTGCTTAGTTTGCTCGGGGGAAAAAAAAAAGCTCCATACTGTCAAACTACCAAAGTTCACATTGGTGTTCTGACTGACATTTGAATGCTCTGGGCTGCCCATGTCAATTGCTCGATCTCAAAAATGCTGCACAATTTAAAAGTAGTGGGCATGGGCATGGAAAGTTTGGGATTCTTGATACTACCTGTTAAATGACACGGTCACAACATTACTTTTCTTGCCCCACTTACCCATCATTATTTAAACATATCAGATTCAAACTTTAAACACAATTTCAACTAGGTGGCATGAACATTACCTGGAGGTTTATCTATAGAAGATTACTGTAACAATTTCATTACACACAATAAAATTCCATGACTTTTCCGAATGTTTTAAGTTTATTCCATGACCTTTCCAGTCCTAGAAAATGAGTTTGTTGAATTCTGGCTTTTAAAGGTTTTCCATGACCGTGGGAACTCTGCACTCAGAGATTAAGTTTTGCAAGGTGGTCCACAAACCACCCAGCTGATATTTAAAGAGATAAAGAGTAGTGTAAAGACAATACATTTTTTTTTAGGAATAAAGGCCAATTTATGGTTTCAACGTATGCATGTTCACAAGGGTGTGTGTTGTATCCACCCACGTCCACAAGGGTCCACAAAGACCTCCTTACAGCCTGTTTTTTGTAACTTGCAGACAATCTGCATAGCAAGCACGCTGACTGCGAATGCTCCGGTCTCTTGTTCCACACTCCAGTCCAGTCTAAAACACTGTGGTCAAACCGGCCTCAGCCACCTCATCAAGTTAAGGTCAGTTTTAAGTTGGATTTTTGACAGATATTTACTCTAGTCCTTGTAGCCTCCTTCTTTTTTTCAGTCTCACCCGATGTCAGCAGTAGCGGGACAGGACAGTCATCTCACCTCCCAGCCCCCCATGTTTACTGCTGAAATGGACCCTCAATTATAATAAATAGAACCACATGCTGTCTGCAGACGTTCAACGCAGAAAGTGTGTCGGAGCCCTTAGTATGCTGTGCCAAAGAGATCAAACTGAGGTGTGTCCAGCCTATGTATTAGCAGACTCTGTTAGACTATTTTAGAATCTTTAGGTCTATTTACAAGAACTACATTGTTTGAGCGTATCTTTATGAGTCCAGAGAACGAGTGGATACTCAAGTGAATCTCAACATTGCCTCTTTTCAGTCACATTTAAGCGACATAAACAGGTTACTTTTGAACATGAAATTTGAAGTTTGTAAGGAGCTGTCCTCATTTGACTTTTTGCACCTGTCTGACCCCAAACATGAGCTGTTTGGATGTGCAAATGCATCCATACCAAATGCACATGAAGACAATGCAGTGTAGACTGACGCAATGTCTACGCACTCTCCTTCTTTTTTTTAATATAATTCTGACGTGCAGCAGGCAGAGAACTTTTTATGTATTTCATCATTTCTTTTCTGATAGTTGTCTTTCAGCCCTATGTACCTCTGGGTGATGGCAAGCAGAGCCTCGAAAGAAACGAAACAACTAAGCTTCTGATATCTATGTGCTTTTATTTGCTCTACTGATGCTCTGAATGAAGCTCAACAGCACCAACCACAGGCTGCTAAAGGGATCACAGTCTATTAAATCCTTGTCAGAAGCACAGATACAGAAACATACTGATGCATCAAGAGGTCAAGAGGACTTCTTAAACACTTCAAATGATAGGCAAAAAAAGGAGATCTTAAATATTACAGGAAACAAATTATAACAATGTGCAAATGAATTCAATTGAAGACATGAAGTGTCATAGTGAAAAATAAAGCTATTATAGTTGTTAATATGTGTGAGAAGCTCCTCCAAACACTGAAAAGAGAGGAATTCATTTATTCCTTATGAACACAAATTAACTAAACATGGCTAGCCAGCTAGCACACCTATGGAGAATAACACTTTGGGGCTGTCAGAGCAGAGAGTAAAAACTGCTTTGTTAACTGCTATAAAGATCATTTTAATATAGACAGTTTGTGAGATGTTCAGTGTCATGCTCTTGATAACTTCACGTTTTGCCTAAATGTCAGCAGTTCAACAGACACAGTCAAACTGGGCCTTCTCAGTTTAACAGCCCAGAATGGAGTCATCCCATAGTTTCTCCTCCTCTGTTCTAGTGTCCACTTTCTCTTTCGTTTTCTTCTTCTCTTTCTTGTATTTAGGTTTTGCTGGCTCGTCCTGTCCACCCTCCCCCTGCTCAACATTCATGTCAGCCTGAAAATGCACTTCAGGCTCTTTTCTATTGTCCGTCACGTCACCTGGCATTAAATTGTCCATCACCCTTTCCCCTCCTTCCACCTCAAAGTCCTTCTCCCGGGATTTCTTCTCTCGTCTTCTCCGCTTGCCATGATTTTTGGGCCTTTTTCTCCTCCTCCCTTCCTCTGACCCTCCGGATCCCTCTCTCTTCCTCTCCTCTGAGTCATTATCTCTTCCCCTCCTCCGCCGCTTCCTCCTCTTCTCCTCCTTGTCTAAGTCCTCATCTCTTCCCCTCCTGTCTTTCTCTCTCCTGGGTCTCCTAATTCTCCTCTTTTCTCTGCGCCTGTATTCACTGTCACTGTCACTACTGCTATAAGAGGAGGAATACGAGGAGTAAGATGATGAAGTATACGAGGAGGAGCTCGACTGCTTTCTGGGCCTCCTTCTCTTTGTGGGCCAACTGGTGAACAGAGCAGAGCCTGAGGGTGGGAGGACTGGAGGAGGGCAGTTGTAATTCCAGCCATGGGGCGGCCAGGTAGGGCCCTGGTATGGAGGACGCCACCCTTCCACTGGGTAGTAACCACCAGGGCGGGAGTGATGAGGAGGGTTAGAGGTGGGAGGAAGGCTGGGCATGGGTTTGTTCAGTTCTGTGATATCTCCCTGGTTTAATACTACCTCTTCTTCTTCACCTTCCTCATCCTCCTTTTGTGTGTCATCTGGCGGGAGGACTTGACTGGCCTTGGGGGTGATTCCACGAGCCTTCTGGACTTGAATGTAATCTGCCAGTTCATCTGCAAATGTGCTGTAGTCTTTTGGTTGGGATTTGCACAGGTCCACAACCTTCTTCTCCCTGCTCAAGAACATGCAAATATAGTTACTATTCAACTGGGTGAAAAATGTTGATGTCACAATAAAGCCCCATGACGTGTTGTTTTAACCACAAAAAAACATACCATCAGCTTATCAAGTGCTGACAGTTAACATGTTAAACCATACTCTACTTGCACATCCACAGCAATATACACTATGCCATGGGCCTGTGTATATGATAAAAACAGAAGTGGTTTGCAAACTAAATAGTTAAATAGTGCAAAATAGAGAAAACTTCAGGACACAACGCTTCGACTTTTAGGGTCGTCCTCAGGCAAACAGTAAGTATAACATGATGCTTGGAATATTCAGTGAGTGGACTAACTTTCATTTACGTTCTTGTGCGTCTTTAGTCCTTAACCTGTACCCAGCTGGGGTTGGACGTGCACACTACCCACCTCTTCTCAGTACATGGGACTCAACCACACAACTAAAGTGTGGACTGAAAAACAAAACATGAGCTAAAAGCTAAAAAGGCAGTAACACTCATCTGATTGAATGTAAATATAAAGAAATCACTTAATGGAGCGGCAGTAGCTCAGTCCATAGGGACTTGGGTTGGGAACCGGAGGATCGCCTGTTCGAGTCCCCGTCCGGACCAAAATATGGAGCGTGGACTGGTGGCTGGAGAGGTGCCAGTTCACCTCCTGGGCACTGCTGAGGTGCCCTTGAGCAAGGCACCGAACCCCCCAACCGCTCGGGGCGCCTCACCAAGGGCAGCCCCTCACTCTGACATCTCTCCACTTTGTGCATGTATAGGTCCTGTTTGTGCATGTGTGTGTCTTTTGGACCTGTGTGTAATTGACAAGCAAGAGTGAAAACATTGAATTTCCCCTCAGGGGGATTAATCAAGTAAATAAACTTAAACTTAATGTTGCCGAAGTTCTAGAAAGGCAAGCTGAAGTACAGTGGATTATTTTAAGTGCAGCATAAATGACACAGTGACAGTGGACTTGGTGTGTTTGTCTTGATCTTACCTAATCTGGTGTTTGTTTCCTTGCATGTGGGCCTGGTACATCTCCACAGAGTTAAACTGCACACTACACATCTGGCACATCAGGGAGTCGGCTGCAGACGACAGAGAGTGGGTGAGGTGGGAGATGAGGAGGAAAAGACAGTATAACTGATCAAATGATGGCTTATAAACACTAAGATATAGAGCTTCCTTCGCTTTTTCTGATTGTAGTTAGTTTCTTGTGAGTTTCTAAGTCATGTCCAAATAATAATAACATTGAAATCTCCTCTAGGCTAAAAACGACACAAGACCTAAGATTAACGTTCTGTTTGACTGCGAACAGTCGCTAACTAATTTAACTTTACTATGTTGTAATTTAACATATCCACAGTTGGATTAACGTTGTTTTGTCAACACCAGTTATTTGTCAGAAGGTTATCAAACTATTACCTACCTCTGATGGGACGACATCTTCATGGCGGAGGGGATTTGCAGTTTCAAATATCTGTGTAATTTTTTTATTTTCTTGATCATTAATGTGCTGGTATCGGGCTATGATGCTGTTACCATCCTCTACTGACTTTATTCTCCTTGCATCTCAGTTAGATTGAAGGACACAATGTAGGCTGAGTCCTTAGCAGCAGCTCAGGTTCAATTCCAACCTGTCCCTTTGCTGAGTTTCATCCCCATTTTCTCTCCCACTTCCCTGACACTCTACTGCTGTTCTATGGCAAAAGTGAAGCCCTAGAAATAATAATCTCAAAATAGACTCAATATCATAATGGGGTCTGATACCCTATTATTCCTGCTTGGCAGAGTGGCAGGACCCTGTGTTACCTTGTTGGACATTGTCTCCGAGCTCTTTGAGCAGCTCCTGTCTGGCATGATTCCTCTGGTGTTTGCGTCCGTTGTAGTGCTGCAGAGCCATCTGAGGATTGTTGAACGAGGCAGCACACAGGGGACAGTACTTTTTAGGGTCCGTCAGATCAACCTCTGTGCTGGGGGTAGTTGTGGTGGCGGCAGGGTCCGGGAGATGCTCCACACCTCCCTCTGGGGCAGGTTTCTGGTCAGCATCATCAGGCTCCCAAGTCACACTTGGTAAAGTACGGACCTCTGTGTACCTGTCTATGACTGCAACGACAAAATCATTAAGTTAGTTTGTGTTGGACCTTAGGAGGTTAAGCAGAACCTGAGCAGACAAGCCATACTGTCAACAAACACTGTTAATCTGTAAACATTAGTATTCAGTTCACTATTATACTTTTTCCATCACACAACCCACACTTGCCTTGGGGCTGGAGACCTTGTTTACGAAGATTTTTTGCATGGACTTTGCCTTCATAGTGTGATTTTGCCACCACGTGGGAGCTAAACACCATGTTACACAGTTCACAGAAATGGTCCTTATCAGTAGTCATGGTCCGCTGCAAAACACAGGCACAAGACTGGCTTTTTAAGAGACAGATATGTGCTTGAATGTGAAAACAATAAAAGAAGAAGAAAATTATAAAAGAGGTCTTAGATGATCCCTTTGAGCATCTCTGTGTACCTCTCTCTTATGTGTAATATATTATACTAAGAAGGATATCATTAAAGCTATGGCCCTCAGCCTCCTTACCATTAGATGCTTGCAGCATTATGGTTTATGTTTATTACTGTTACACTCAATGCTCAAGATTACAGATTAAGATTGTGCCTAAATATGCAAAGAGTAAAATCTCTAAACGAGTGCTAACCTGGGGCCCTGTGGACTCTTTGCTCGTCTTCTCAGCCTTCCTGGACTGCAGGTACACCTTGAGTTTTTGAGCATGTTTCTTTCCCTGCAGTCGGGGAACACAGGAGACATTATTATACAGGCTCCGACCTTATGAGGTCAATAAAACTGCACCGTAGCTCCATGACTGCCTGGAAAGCAGGACACACCTCATAGTGGGACACCCGCTGAGATTCAAAGAGCAGCACAGCCTCACACACATGACAGTAGTCGTCAGTGAGGAGACCCTTCAGCAGCTCCTCTTCACTCTTGTCTCCTGTGTGGCACAATATATGGTCACTGTTACAAGTAGGCCACAGTGAATTAGGCATAATGAACAAATAGCGGGCTATTAAATCAGTACATTACATTAATTCTTAACACTATCTCTGCACACAAAACATACGCTGTTTGCAAGAGATATACATCATAAAAAAATCTGCCTCCTCTTTGGCAGATTTTGAGTGATACAGAGACAGATTCGTTTTGGAAAAATTAGAAGCTGCAAAATGCAACATAATTTGTACAGTTTTCATTATCTGAATAAAAGAAACGTCTCATCCCACATTCAAAATTATTTTGTCTTTGTAGGCCAGAAATTCTGCCAAGATCAATCTGCCCTGATCAGCAAGAAAAACTGCTTTTTCTGAAACATATACTGTAACAAAAACTTTCTGTGCAATGGAAATTCACCATTTTATAAATTTCACTGAATTCCACACTCATTCAAGATGCAACCACACCCTTTGGCCATATTTCAAGCAACACATTTTCCACTCTATGACATAATTTGCCAAAAGGAGACTCTGGGACAGAGATAAACTTGGTGATCCTTCTTTCATTAAAATCCCTAAACGGACACAAAACTGCTACTGTGCAATACAGCAATATCTCTTAACATCGGCAGCATATACTGTTACTATGTGAGAAAATTGTGGTTTTATGCTTGACTGCATTCAGTCTGCTTACTCAATGCCTGATGCATATGTCTCACACTGCACTTCTGCATTTATGTAATGCTGAATGATTTGCCCTGAAAGCATCAATGAAATATAACATGCTCCACTCATATTCACTTGAATCACAATTATTTAACACTCAAACATTTGGAACATCTTTCAATAACACTATCAATAAATATTTGGTAATATCTCAACTGTTTGGGCAAAGATTTGGCTATTAGTGTGGCTATTTATCCAACATTGAGAAGAATCAGTTTGTGAGCTTCATTTTAAGAGATTAAATTAAAATTACAGCAATAAGTAAGGACTGAGACATTACTGTGAAACTTAATATGTTTATATCCTTGCTGCCAATAATGGTTCTTAGTATGATTTTTACACCCTATGCTGTATTGATCTGATCATCAGATAGGACTGATAAATACGCTTTTACGACTAATGGTGACTAAAAGTTTGTAACTAAAGCAACAATAATCAGTCGATTACTCCCATAGTGAGTCCACGAAAATAAATAAATAAATAAATAAATACCAGTTTAAAATCAATTACCTTGTCATGTTAATTAATTAGTTAAAAAAATGTTAGTGACAGTGTCTTATCTGCAAAGATGTGCTCACTTTTCCTCTGTATATAAGTACAGTATATATGTAATTTCAATTGTCACCGGATAAGTAACTGGAAAAAAAAAAAAAAAAAAAAAAATCAAAATATAACTACAATATTGATCAACACTGACAATTACCTTAGATTAAATAAAACTGAGGTTAAGTAAACTAAAGCACTGAAATTAAGTGCTATATTTTCAAGTTTTGATTCACAATACTTAAAGTGTGTTGGCACAATTTAAGCTTGCCAACTTCTCCAACGTAAAACAATAATTATATACTAAAATAGCATATCCCTCTGTACTCCACACAGTAACAGCTGCCATGAATTAAAGCTGCCTTGAATAAAATAATTAACAGACACGCTGGTACTGGCCTAAATAGCCAAGTGTGCTGATACATTTCAAATACTGTACTTACCAAATGATAATCACAGTAGCAGTTACCAAGAGAACAGAGACTGTAGGTACTGTATCTCAAATTACATGTACAATGTTTAACCCTATCTTATCATGCCACTGGTGACCGAGACCACCAAGTGAGGGACAGATGGACATTTTTAAGGTCAGACTGACTGACAAATCAGCTGATGAGGTCTTATATCATTCAAACTCACTGTCAACCTGACAATACTAGTTATGTCTTTATACACAACAAGCTATATTTGACTGTAACTGTTTCCACTAGCTGGTGTGTTGCTCTATTGATCTGACTAGTAACATTAAGTATTAATTAAGTTGCCATCAGTAGCCAGAGTGAGGGTTAATGTCACTAAACTGTATTAAGTTACTGGCTGGCCTCCGTTACCAAAACACGCTAGCTGTCCTACCAGTTAACCTTCACCACTGGTTTGTGACCAGTTCAAACCAAAAGGCACTTTGGGCTGGGGACTGAGTTAGCTCGCAGTACAGTCAACGTTAGCAACTGGCCAACCATTTCCGGACCTAGGAAACGACCTGGCTGGATTTAGACTTTTTAATGGGCGATATCGTTTACAGCTCATGTACGCAAGGACCGCTATAAAATATTCACCAACTCTTGACGTTACAGCGACCGTTAGAAAGTTAATATTAGCGTATTTAGCTAAGGAGCTAGCTCACTCGACTGTTGAGCTGGCTAACCAGTTAGCTAAAAAAGCTAACGTTGGCTCGGCAGGCAGCACACCATACGGCTGAATTCTCACGTTCTAGATAAAACTCACCTTCAACCTGGGTGCTATCTATTTTAGTGTTTATTACTGTGTCAGCATCTGTGACAGAAGCCGCGTTAGGTGCACTAGTAGTGTTATATTGAGCGTCTGACTCCGCAAGCTGCAGAGTACAGACACTTCTGTCGTCCATGTTTTTCCTTAGCTGTTTGGTGCATGCGCAGTGATGCCGTAGTATTATGGCGTTGGCTTTGAGGGATAATCCAGACTGTACTGTATACTGTATACACATTCTGTGTACTTTATACTATATAACGTGTACAGTCTGTACTTTATACTATATAACGTGTACAGTCTATGTACTTTATACTATATTTACAGTCTATGCGCTTCATACTATATAACATAAACCGTTTATGTGCTGTATACTGTATACACAGTCAGTGCACTGTATACTATAGTACAGTCTGTGTACTTTATGCTATATAACCTATAAAGTCTATGTACTCTATACTATATACAGCCTATGTACTTCACTGTATAA